CCTGAGTGAGTAGAGGGGGGGGCTCCTAAATCCCAGCGATGACCCCGTGGTGCATACTGAGCATTGGATTAGCATCACACAAATCAAAATGGGATTGGCAGGTGGCTCCTACTCATTCAAGCCTTTAAGATGGACTTTGCTCTCCGTGTCTCACCTCTAAGGAATAAAACTCTCCAACAAGGGCGAGAGGAAGGAAGCCAAGAGCAGTTTTAATCCTGCTTGAAGGAAGCGGTCATCTTTAACCATGGAAAAGTGTGATGAGCGGGCTTGCACAGGCCTGAGGGGGACTGAACCGCTCTAGAAAGTAATGTTTCATTGAACATGTAGTGCTTAGTTTGACAACCGGCCGCTGAAAGGTATTTACTTTGTCTTTCTCTTCAACTGAATGAATTCCCCTCTCGCCGGCCGGGCCCCATCTGTAATGAAAAGGGGGAGGAAGCCGGAGCAAATGAAACGATCCTCCGACAAGGTAATTAAGTCCAGACACAAAGGGCTCAGCAGGAAGTAGTTTTATAGGGAAGGAGACGGTATTCTCCGGGGGGAGGGTTTGGCCTTGAAGGGCGCAGGAGGTTCACTGGCCTGCAGCCACTTCACACCGAGGGTACCAGGCACACAAAGGTATTACTCAGCCATTTCTGTCTGCTCAGGTTAACAAACGAAATGCATGAAAATAGGGCATCTTTTTCACATGGGAAGAGTTCTTAAAAAAACCTAGTGTATAAAGATATGCATCCTATATTTTACCCCTGAAGGCTCAATGCTACAGACGCAGAACTAACGTGACGTGCACACGGGTCTCTTCTTATAGTGTTGTACTTTGGTTCAGGCGGCGAGCCCTTTTTAATGAAGCCCACTGACCCCTTCAGACTCCATAATGTGCAGAGCGGTGTGCACTAGAGCCAATTTATCTTATTCTTTTTAAGTTCTCAAAGGGGACGGCAAACTATTCTATTCTGCGCCAAGCACACGTCCTTTTTGTTACCCTTTGATTGCTTTGATTCCCCCCCCCCCCCCCTCCTCCCCATCCCCTACCCTGCGGTCTCCAACTGCACATGACATGTTTTTATTTTATTTGCTCATATTTCCCCTGAGGAATGCACAGTGGAAAATCAAAAGGACATCGGCGCCTGAACGTTGTACTTATTACATAAAGCGTCATGTCCTTTTTTTATCTTCCAATTTGCACTTATGCACGGGTGCTCCCGTGCACCGCCGGGCAGCAGGAGCGCGCCACGTGCTGCGTGTGTGTTGTGACGCCGCAGCGTCGTTGAGGTGGGTGCAACTGCTGTCTGGAATAGCGCTGATCCTCTTAACTGATTACTAGCTGCGGCCAGAGACCGAGACAGAGGCGTGGGGAGCATGCAGACAGATGTCTCACCCCCACCCACAACAAAACTTACACCGAGCATCTATGTTTAGGTCGGGCCACGGGGAAGCTGGTACCAGATCCCTTTGCTTTAGCAGACTCCGGGTCTGTTTAGTTGCTCATGTGTTACCAGACGGCGGCGGTTTCTCTTCATGTATTCAGCAGCAGGAAGTGGATTTTGTCTTGAGCTGCAAGGAGAACACCGGCTTCTTAATGAGCGTTTAGCCAAAGTAGTCGGCACTTTGTTTATAACGATACGTTCCCTTGTGCAGGATTTATTTAAAGAAACTGCCTTTTTGACAAATTGACACCGCCATGTTTTTATTTGGTTTTCAGCGTTTGTCCTGCTCCGGTCCCACCGCATGAAATTGAATTGGGGATATGGAGTTACAATTGGTATCAAATATGAATATTACACGACTTCATTTTCCTTAATCACATACGTATCTAGATATGCCTCTCTATAAAACAAAGGTGCATCTGGAAACATCTGAAGTTTGTTGCCCAAAAGGTGTTTAACTCAGTTCCACGTGGAGATGGGGCCTGAGGGCATGCATCCCACAACAACGCTTTAATTTTATCATAGCAAAACATCCAGATAGTTAAATCCTAACCAGACTGGACTCTTTTTGTCTACTGGCCTCCTGGGCCTCATTCTCTTGGTTAATCTCATTTGCATCAATAGGTTTACATCATTTGGTAAAACGACACTCCGGCTCACCTGAGGCCCCGCCCCCAGCAGAACGGGCGCTCTCATTGGCTGATTTGAACAGCGCTGCCCACAACACACAGCAGCGGAGCGCTTGAGTGATTCCCGACAACTGGAGGACCAACTCAAGATTTCCACAAGGAAACAAAACAGACGTTCTGCTTAAACTCCCCAGCCTTCAGTGTTTCGGTCACCTCTTCTTTGAACGGCCACTCGATGACGCAACAACAGCTGTGTAGAACTCCTGACAGCGCGGCCTGAAAACCCGCCAGAGCTCCTGGAACTAAAACCATGCTTACAGGGAGGTGACGGAGGAAACGGCCCCCTTTCCAGATGGAATGGCGGAGCTGGCGGCGGTCTGCTTGTGGAATGTGTGTGGTTGTGCTCGGTGTCATGGTGGCGCTGCCTGCCCTTTCCAGCGTGCCACCCCCAAGTTCACCACCACCATAAAACATGTTTTGTCTTATTTTGGCTCCTATTCTGTCTTCCTCCTCTGCTTGACATTTGGCTGTGGGAGGGGAGGTGGGGGGGCTGTCCCCGTGGCAGATGCACACACTAGAGTCCACTGCCAAAGATTTGCCCTTTATGTCCCGTGTTGTTCAGAGGGAGCCTTTTCTAACGCCCGCGTGCTGAAAAGAATCCAGTCTGGATTGCCCTCTTTTTGAAGTCCTAAATGTTGCTGGTTGGTCACTGTCTTTCCACTTCGTAGCCTTCAGGATGTTGGTGTAGAAGACTATTGAAATCCTCTCAGGCTTGTTATAGATCAACCGTCATTCGCAGCGCTTCCATTCACCGGCCAATCGGGTTTTAAGAGACCCAAGAAAGAAATGCTGATTCCATCCAGCTGATAAACAGCTGATCTCTGATTCTGAAGCCTGCCATAGACTGTTTGAACCGCACAAGGTATCGGCGCATGTTGTGGTTTCAGTTCTTCGTTCATTGAAGAGTCCACTTATTTCCGTTGTGCACGACCCGGTGGCTTCACCAAAGCAGCCTTGTCGTGGGCCAAGAGGGGACACACACACACACACACACACACACACACACACACACACACACCGCACCTCCACTATCCCACCTTAATCCATTTCGGCCCGTTGTGGTTGGTAAGTTCCTGGTTTGGTGACTGGTTTGCAGATGAGGTGTGTGTGTGTGTGTGTGTGTGTGTGTGTGTGGAGAGTTTGGCAAGCTAAGAAAACAATAGAGGCTTTGTGTGAGGGTCCCACCGTGACAGGATTGTTGGGGGAGAGAAGTGGGTGGTGGAGAAGAGGGGGGGGCTTAGCGAAGCGTAGCCACTTCATTAGTCCGTGCTCTCTGTTTGCACCTCCTCCTCCTCACATCCATCCTCCCTCCCGGTCATTCTCTCGCTGCCTCTCCTTCGCCGCTCTCTCGCAGAGCCACAGAGGCAAGAGTCGCTCTGGCAGGAGGGCGCAGTTTTTTTGTTGTTTTTTTCCTTTGCATCAACGTGCTTCTGAGGCAGATTAAAGGTGACCGGTGCAGCTGCGTGGAAACCATGGTTTGCTTTTCTTCTTTCCTGAGGTAAGTTGTCTCGCTTGGTCGACCCGTCCCGTGCCCGGATGCTGACTCGCTTCTTCTGTCCCCCGAGATGCAGCTCTAGGTGTCGGATGACGGCATGCAGCGCTCTCCGGCAGGGTGAACAACAGAGGATGTGATCTCAGTGGTTGTCGAGGTGTTTCTAGAGGAGGATGCAGGAGTTGTTGTTGTTGACTGCGGGGATGACCTGGGGGGTTAAACACCATGCGGGTAGTTTCAAGTTTTACAAACCCATCTTGCTGTACGTTTTTGGCTTCATGTGAGGTGGTGTCTTGGGATCTGGGGAGCATTGAGGGGAGGGCGTCGGGGGGTGGAGGGGACTATTGCCTCAGCTGTGTTGACCAAATTATCAGTGTTTTTAGGATCTGCTCGCGTGTGATTGCTTCCCCCCCCTCTCTTTGTCAAACGCACACCCCAGGGACCGCTGAGCGTCGGGTAATCCTTCACATCCTGTGTGGGGGGAAAAAGCACTCGGACTGCCCTCATCACGTCCTCGTGACAAAGTCCCATCCTCGAAAACTCAAACTCACAAAGACGACAACATACTGGTTGGGATCTGTTTTTGCCCAGCGGGCCGTTGGCTCGCCCGCAGCTCCTATCAATGTTCAACTGTCCTTTTCTAATGTTCCTGCGTTAGCGCTTAGTCAGAGTACCGCGGGTGTATTCAACTCTTCCACCCATTCTTCAGAAGGCCTGGCCAATTTTTAAATTGACTGTCTTGTAAATGAAATAACACAGTGACTATAGACTGCCACGTGTGTCATCTTTCTTGATAGCTGTTGCCTTTTGCTGAGGAATCCCTCTGATCGTAAACATGCACCGTTTTGTTATTCGTCCCCGTCCCTTTTGCCCCGCTGCCGACGCGGTTGTGATTCTTTCTATTCCTCTGAAAGCAGGACTTGAGTACAGGCCACATGGGGGGCCAGGCGCTGAGCCTCATACGGTAGTAGTGGGGTGTCGATCATCCAAATCGTCCATTCTAATGACTGTGGCCGGGCCGATAGCAGGTCGTTCACGGGGTTCGTTCACGTCCTTCTCTTGTCCCGGGAGTCAGAAGGCTGTTGGCAACTTCCGAGGGCGGCGTCTAGCCCCCCGGCTGCTGGTAGTTACAGGATGTTCTAGAGACCCTGTTTTCACCTGTGTTTGGCCTTTTACAATACGTTATGCTACTTGTATCAGCAGGGCTCCACTTGAATCGCACATCAATTATATGTATAGGTATCAATGTTCCAGCCGAACTCTTAGCAAGGATGTTTCTCAACATCATCAAACTGTTCCTGGAGACCATCTGAACCTCCTCACCCACACGCTGAACTTTTTGATATGATCTCTTTTCTGACCAAACTCTTGTCTTCTCGCTCCACAGGATGAAGAAGTGACTCATTCGTGACCACAGTCATGGCTGTGCACACTGGCGTCCAGGTAGGCTCGTCATCATCATCATCATCAATATCTAGATTAGTAGTCGGTCTAGATTGGGGGGGGGGGGGGGAAAGGGTCCTTGTTGTTCCGGTTAAACAAAGCGGTGAAGGCATCTTTCTCCTGCTCAACAACTGCAGCGCGCCGCCGTGTTGTTGCTCTGTGTGTCTGACGCTCCACTGCTCCGACCCCGAGGACTTTATACGCACATGTTTTTGGGAGGATTGTGGGGAGAAAGGGGGGAGTGATGTAGGAAATGGGGATTTTTTCTTTTCACTTACCCTCCTAGGAACGAAATATCAGCTGTCCCAGAACAACAAACGTATTGTGTTACAGATTTGTCCCATGGCAGGAGAAAGTGTGTGTGTGTGTGTGTGTGTGTGTGTGTGTGTGTGTGTGTGTGTGTGTGTGTGTGTGTGTGTGTGTGTGTGTGTGTGTGTGTGTGTGTGTGTGTGTGTGTGTGTGTGTGTGATGTTTAACAGGCCTGTCTCTCGCTGCTCGTCTTTGGATATGCAGAAATATGTATTAAATATAAGTGCTGGGCGCACATTTACAGTGGACAGGAGGATGGATGTAGAACAAAGCGCCTTGTACTGCGTGTGATGGAAGGCCCCCTGTGAGGGCATTGATCTAACTCAGAGCTTCACCGCGCATGTAGAGCAGTCACATGCGATAAATGGTCACACTCTTGACCGCGCTGTTCACCCGCGCTGAAAATGCACACACCCGTGGAAGTACGGGCAGCATACGCGCCGATTTCTTAACGCAGCAGCAAGCGATAATGTCTGCAGGTTTTGGTTGTTCTTTGGTGATGGATACGAATAGTTGCAGAGCGGCTCAGTTTCAGGTGGAGACGTTGTAGCATCTCTGTCGGGTAGCTGTAGAAACACACACACTAAATGAGCAAACAGAAAAGCCCTTGAAAAGAGCAGCGTGACCCCCGTTTGTTCAGCTGGGCCAAACCAAACAGCTCTGGTTTTTGTTGTGATCCTCGCAAGGTCAAAGGTCAACCACCAGGCCATGGGAAGTTTGGTAAGTCAATCAAAATCTGTGTGAATGGCCCATTGATCAGATAGGAAATGGCAATAAGGAAATGGTAATAAAGAACTAGATAAATGTAACTCCTGGTCAGAGTTGTTGCCAAACACGTGAACGAGCCACTGCGAGAAAACAACGTTCCTGCATGTTCACGGACAAGAAGCCCGTAAACATGCAGGGGAAACAGGAGGCATCACGGGGACAGAAGGTTTTTGTAATAATGTGAACAGATGATGCAGTCACAAGAGCAGCTTGTTTAACTAGAAAGCCAGAGAACATCATGAACATGTACGAATTTATTTTCAATTTCAACACCAGATCTATACGATACTTTTTTCTTTGAGGGGGGTCCAGCACTACTGCCCACTTTTCCCTGGGACCTTGCTGCCCTTGGCTATTGTTCCACAGAGCTCAGCTATCCTTTGGTATAAGTGGCTCAGGTTAATAGCATCAGATAAGCCCCACCCACCGAAATTGTAACACACAGGCCTCTGCAGGATTACCGACCCGCATTCCACAGGTGATGAAAGACGGATCAGCCTCCTATAACCGGTGCAATGCAGATGGTAGTTCAGTCTGCGTGTGTGTGTGTGTCCTTTTCTAGTGACGTAGCCTTTTTGCATTTCCCCAATTCTACCTCTGAGCTCCCCTGGCAATCAAATGACTCCAAGATGAGTAAATGGGTAAAGGTTGGATGTAATTAAAGAGGCTTCAAGTTCCACTGACAAAGGGGCGGAAAATGTGTGCTTTTAAAAAGGCATTTACATATGGAAAGTTTGCAACTTGGTAGTGGTCCCAACCCTACCACTGCCACTCAGCTTGTTCACTGTCTTCTTTACAAAGTAAGATCTACATCTGATGGTGTCCCCAGCAGCATGTTGGCCTGGGAAAGTCTGTGTTATAAACTGATGACGTGCAAAACATCTTCACTTCTGCTGCCTTGATTTCTTTTTTGTTCACCGTTGTTTTTTTTCAATCCGTTGCTTGAGATTCTCCAAATTTAACTAAATTATTGCCCATTGGAGTTTGGAGTTAACTTAGCTTGAGCATTAGGGCCAAATTCATGATAATGAAGGACTTATTTCCACTCTGCTAATTGGTCCTAATCTTCTCTACTTAGCATTGTGAGATTTAGTCCTGTTGTTGCATCCACATTCCTCAAGCAGGGAGACTTGAAACATTCAGACTCCGCTGGCTTCAAAGCCTCACTAAAGCTTCAACACACACACACGCGCACACACACAGGGCTTCAGCAGAACATCGGTGTATAATAGCCTCTCTGTTGGACTGGCCACAAGGTTTCCAGTTTGTAGGCTGAACAGCAAGCGATGAACTGAAGGCCGACTCGACCGGGCCGTGTTTTAATCACAATAAGAACATTCAGTGAGCGGACGCGGCGTCTCATTATTGCTCGACGGCATGTGATTGAACCCCAGATTACACGCTGTCTCTCATTCTACAGGGAGGGGGGTTGTTATGTAACGTCTGGACGTCCTCATAGTGCACATCTGTCCAGCCAGTTGCCAGGGAATAATTAAAAAGTTAGGACAAAACATCATAGACATATATTTAATGTATATCAATTTATTGTAAATACAATAAATAAATACATTACATGTCATTTAGCTGACGCTTTTATCCAAAGCGACGTAAAATAAGTGCATTCAACCATAGGATACAAACTCAGAAGAACAAGAAAGCGCAATTTCCTCAAATAAGCCAATTTACAATGTGCTATAGATGAGTGACGTTACAAGTACAATTTAAGTGCTACAGTTTGTTAGTCCTTTAGTCGAGGTAGAGTCTGAAGAGGTGTGTCTTTAGTTTGCGGCGGAAGGTGTGAAGGCTCTCTGCGGTCCTGGTGTCTTCAGAGAGCTCGTTCCACCATTTCGGAGAAAGGACAGCAAAGAGTCGTGATCTAGTCGAGTGTTTTGCTTTCAGTGAGGGAGGGACGAGTAGTTTTGCAGATGCAGAGCGGAGAGTGCGGGTCGGGATGTAGGGTTTGACCATGTCCTGGATGTAAGCTGGACCCGATCCATTCACAGCATGGTACGTGAGCACCAATGTTTTGAACTGGATGCAGGCAGCCGCCGGTAAATATATATAATGTCATGCTGTTTTTGAGAAGGAGGAGCTTTGTCGTTGTCTTGAGTTATTTAAAGTATTGACAACAATTGGGTTTTAAAATGATTCACCAGTTTTCCTCTTTATCCACATACTTCCCCTATAAATGTCTACATTACATCGCTGCATGGCGCTGCACAGGACTGTTTCCCGTCCCTCCCTTCATATCTTCTGCTATGTGAGGGCCTGTCAGTGTAAAGAGTGGAGTGGAGGGGAAGTACGAGTGGGAAAAGGGATGTGTGAGTGGAGAAGGATGTGATGAGACACCCGTGATCAGCGCCACGCTTCATGTAAGCACCGGACTGTGAACCAGTAGCACCCATTTAACCAGTGGAGTGCAACGGCATGCAATCGCCTCTTCTTCCTCCTGGATTTACAGCGAAATATGATAACTGGGGAGGTGGGGCTGTGGTTTGCACTCTACTGAGCGTAGAAGGGATGGCAGCCATGACGCGTCCTCTCTGCACTAGTTTAATAATGTGTCTTCTCTCCATGAGGAGGGACAGTTGGTTTAAACCACCACCGATCACATGCCATCCTGTAGTTCGGAGGTTCCTCGGTGTCTGCTCCCCCCCCCCCCCAAGAACACGTAAATGCTCGCTAATCCTCCGTCCTCTATCCCCTCTCTCGTGTCCAGGTGTGGTTCGGGGAGAAAGTTCGATGCCCCGTTGTTGAGCCCCAGGAGCCCTAAGGAGGCCCTCGCAGGCCCGCTGGGCCCAGCGGCACGGCCTCGGGCTCACCGACGTCTTTCAGTATGACCAGTGGCTGGCAGTGCGGCATGAAGCCACCTTGGTGCCCATGCAGGAGGATCTGGCCATCTGGCTCAGCGGCATGCTGGGTAAGCGCCGCATGCCGACTCGGGCTTTCTTCATTTGTTCGCCCCTCCGCTTTCCCCTCACGCGCAGCCTGGTATGTTGCTTTGACATATTTGTTTTGTTTGTCGGTTTCCTTGCTGGGGTAGAATGTTGACGGAACAAACGCTGTGAGTGCACGCTTCGCCTCTTTTATATTTGTGAGCAATGATGACAAGCATAAGCTAAGAATGATTGCCGATGACCACCTGGCAACCCCCCCCCCCCATAGAGAAATACCAACGCACACTTGACTCCCGTGTAATTGGATTTGGATGCTGCCATTTCCAACTGCGCCCCAGCAAACAGAAACGGGAAGCGGAACAAAATCCCTCATTGCGTCCTTCTCTACTATTCTACCGACCTCTATTGTCCCCGATGATACAAGATGATACAATGGAGCTTTGAGGAAACCGAAGATCCCTGGAAACCGACACCAACGCTGAAACTCCCTGTGAAGAAGCAGGCTGCTGAGTTTCTGCACCCTACGATATTCTGGAGTTCATAAAGCGATGCGATGGCCTACCCCCCTCCCTCGGGGACGATACCGCACAAACGCCCCCCGGGGCCTGGCGGTTGTAGGGTGGAGCGATCTGGCGTCGCTTAGTTTTGTGGCTTTTTTTTTTTTCTTTGGGATTTTGTTCTGTGGATTCGTCTCTCGTTGCCTGTTGCTGAGTTTCTCAGGGGGGTGAATTACAACGAGGGGTCGTGGAGAGTAAGGGATCAACACAAAAGACTCTGCTGATAGGGGAGAAAACGTTTCTCTTGAATCTGTGCCCTATTTATTTATTATTAATCAATCGGGCCTATGTAAACAACACACATCTCATCTTTTATTAAGTGTCCTTGCCGGTGAAACCGAACGACCTGCAATGTGCTGGATGCTGTGTTGCCTTTTTGCAGGCGAGGAGGTGAGAGCCGAGTTCTTCATGGAGGAGCTGAACAACGGCGTGAAGCTGTGCCAGCTAATCGGCGTGCTGCAGACAAAGATCGCCCAAAGCTGCCCCTCGGCGGCGTGCAAGGTGAGTCCGACCCGTCAGCCAAAGGGCGGGACGGGGGAACGCAGCCGTTCACAGAACCTTCAAAGCGCTGACTTGATGAATTTGTGGTTCTGTTAACAGCTCATGTGATCTCCCTCCCACCCCGCAGCTTTTCTCCACGAGGAAGATAGCATGCAAGCGGGACGCCTCTCCGGGTTCCTTCTTTGCTCGCGACAACACCGCCAACTTCCTGGCCTGATGCCGCCACGTCGGCGTGGAAGAGACGTACCTGTTTGAGTCGGAGGGCCTCGGTAAGAGCCATCGCCGTACTTCATCTCAGCTCTCCATGGCTTAATGCTATAGATTGCTCGTTGCTCTCCACCTTTCTCTCATTCATGTGCAGACTTAAGTATTGTTCCAATCCAGCTGACTAGAATGTGACCTTTTCACGAACAAGGACATAGTTAGTTTTGAGTAAACCTGGCAACCCTTTCCTGGTTATGTCCATTTAATCTTGTGTGTCGCAGAGACTCACGGTCACTTATCAGACGCTACTTCTGGCGCTTGGCAAATATTGTCACAACTTTATCTCTTCAATAACCAGATTAAGGAATAAGTACTACAAAGTCAAATAATGTCCAAGCAGGAAAAAAACTTTATCAACTAGTGAATATTTAATGCAACAAAATGCCACACCCGCCAAGTTCTGCTTTAGAACTTCGGGGAGCATAATCATGGTGAGTTTCCCTCAATGTGTTCAGGCTCTCTACCTCGGAAAAAACTCCATCAGATCCAAAACTTCAGGCTAAGTAACAAATCGATGCATTGTGCAGTCATATGCAACACAAGACAAATCCTTAAATTAAATATTTACTCCGAGGATGACTTGATCTGTTTGATAAGGACAACATGGTTACCGGGGCGAAACAGACGAGACTGCGGGTGTAAGCGGCTTTGCGGAGCTCAGTTGTTTAAGCCTCACTTCTTAATGGTTTAATAGGATGTGTTGTAGAGAGCAATCATCCTGAGTACGGTGTGTGGGGATCGCCTCACTACGAGGAATGGTGCTCTAAACCAACGGATTGGGATGCTTTTCAGTAAGAAGACCATGTGTCTCCTGAGAGTTTTCTATGTGCCGTTTTAAAAAAAACATTTTTTTAATACATCTATTTTGATTTTATAACTTAACAAGACAGCCCTCCAGCGCTTTAAGGCTTCAATGAAAGCGTAAGTAAACGAGTCTGTATCAGTACAGGTGTTTTTTGAGAGGTTTAAGACTGGTTTCCATAGCTAGATGAATCTTTTGGCATTGTCACGCTATATAGGATGGTATTCAGTTTAGCGTTGTTTCTACTCTCTCTACATTTCCTACCAGTAGGGGAACCTAGGCCAAGCCTCTCCCTCAGCAGTGGAGTATAATGCAAACGTGCACATGTAGGGTTTGGGGTATACAATGTCTTATTTGTAGATAGCGGAAGAAATGTGACTGTTGGAGAGTATTTGCTCTTCAGGCCCTCAAACGAGTCCATTGCACCGCTGCATGAGGGTTGACAAGTTGGTGCAGACCCTTCTCCTACCACAGCGAGGTCTGGGTTTCTCCATGTGGGAGCCAAAAGTAGTCTTAAATCTGAAGTAGTCCCTGTTCCAGGTGTTTTAGTGTGTTCCGTACAATAAAGTTATTTTGAACCTCCAACTTTGGCTTTTTGTAATTAACGGCGGGACAGTTCTTTAAATTGCGACTCCGTGTCAGTCCGTGCGTTTGTAGCCTGTGGATTCACCCATTGACATCTGAGTTTGTGCTGCCCAGCAGCAGAACTGCATGTGGGGGCCTCCCGGCCCTTCTTGTTGCCTGCTTTTCTGTACTTATCTCTTTCTCATGTTTCCAGAGTGTGGGACGGGAATTTTCATCCCGCCTCCTCCCTGTCATTTGCGATTGCGTCGCATTCGGCCTTTGAAGGCCAAGCTGGCGGCGGCTGCTTCTTCACACTGTCTGACCGTAAACTGTTGCCTTCTTTTGCCTCAGTGCTGCACAAGGAGCCTCGGCAAGTTTGCCTCTGCCTCCTACAGATCGGCCGCATCGTCTCCAGGTGAGTGTTTGAGTGCAGAGCGAGGAGGAGGAGGAGCGGCAAAGGTAAACTGTGTGTTGCGTGTCCCTCAGATACGGCGTGGAGCCCCCCGTGCTGGTGAAGCTGGAGAAGGAGATCGAGCTGGAGGAGACCCTGCTGATGACTGAGGAGCCGCCTCCGGCCGTCAAGACCTTCAGCGTGTGCTGCCAGCACGGCGGCCTCTACCAGCCCGGGGTGAGTTCTGACGCAGCAACACCACCTCGACGCCGAGCTTTGAAAAGAAAACCTTTGCTTCCTCCTCTTCACCCGGTTGCTCTCATTGGACGTGGCGAGCGTCCGCGGGGCCCACAGCTGATCACGTCGACGGTCCATGTGCGACCCCATTTCAGGAAGCATCATCTCCGCCCCCCGCGGGCGCTGACACATTGCAGCGAACCACGTGGCGTTCGGCTGCTGTGACTCATTCACACGTGCACGCAGCCTCGAAGCGTGCGCACACACACACGAGCGAAGCCTCCTCCATTAACACTTTCTGACTCGTAGCTGATGGCGGTTGTGATGCCAACACCGTAATTCCCCTAAACAAGGCTGGAACAGGGGGGGGGGGGGGGCTTGTTCCCATAGGAGACATCTGGGCCAAAAATATCTACTCACTGAAGCGAAAGGCGGTTTGAATGAAAGCATTTCACTAGTATGTATGTTACCAAATGCGTATTTCCTTCATTCAAATGAGCAGCCGTAGCAAATGCTGCCAGTGATTTTATTGCTCTGTATCTTTATGTCCTCGTCACTTCTGATGCATTTAGAAAAGGTATTTGATCATCATTCGACGAGTCACTGCGCGCTTCAGTGCGCAATAATGCATTCCTACAAAAACTGGAGAACCTTAATTGTTTTGGTTTTCCGGCCATCTGTTGGGATTAGATGATAATATCATACGTTTACAACAAGATTCCAGTGTTCCTGCCAACAGGGCCGCCTTGTGACCTCTCCTCTGTCTCGTAGGAGCACGCCGTGGACGACCTGCCCTGCAACTGTGCCAACAGGGTGTCCATTGAGTACCTGTCTGAGGGACGCTACAGACTGGGAGACAAGACCCTCTTTATTCGGGTGAGTGCTCTCTTCGGGTCACCTCACACCAGTAATCCAGATCAGTTGGTCAGGCTGTTGTAACACACTGATTTAGCATGTGACTGTTTAGCATTGTGTTACTCTGAGACTCTGTGAACACTACAGCCGATCTGTGGTCCGCCCCCAAATGCTGTCATTGGTTTAGACGCGTTAAGATAAGATTGTTGTTAATAAATGAATGTGTTAACCTGCCCAACACTAATATCTATTGTAACAGTACATTTAGAATTCAGTTACCAGACAATTTGAGAAAGGGAGATAAAGATGCCGGTGTTCAAGATTTGAGGTACAGTACAAGCATGAATCCTGTTACGATGTGTAACAGGATATCATCGTGTGTGTTTGTGAGCGCTCTGGCACAGCTGCAGGAATCCTTACACACGCGTAAGCTCGTTACTCGGTGGATTACGTTGGCCGATTACATCATAGTCACTCTTGATTTCTGATCAACCAAACGTGGCTTTTTGTTCACCAGCTGATTTGCTTTCCCACGCAGATGCTTCATGGGAAACATGTGATGGTGCGCGTCGGCGGCGGCTGGGACACACTGCGGGGCTTCCTGACGAAGTACGACCCTCTGCGAGTGCTGCAGTTCACCACTCTGGAGCAGAAGATCCTGGCCTTTCAGAAAGGCCCCCCGGGCCTGGGAGGTCACCACTGCAACGCCGCTCCAACCCCTCCTCCCGAGATGGACCCCCTCGCCGCTGTCAATGACCTCATCTCTTCCTCGTCCTCCTCTTCCTCTTCCACCTCTTCGTCGTCTTCCTCCTCCCGCTCGGCCTGTAAGCCGGCACCTGCGACCGCCGCAGGTCAGATGTGTCGCTCGAACGCCGCCTCCCCGGCCTGCACGCCCACAATGCCCAGAAAGGGCGCTGCCTCGGTGCCCAGGAGGAACCTGCAGGGGACCTCTTCCTCCCCCAGGAAGCCCACCCAGCTGCCCCTGCCCACCCCCACCTCCACCACCACCAAAGCTTGCTCCTCTCTGCCATCCACGCCTGTGGGAGGCTCGAAACAGCCTCCCGTCCCGGGGAGTCAGGGTGTGCAGGTCCGTCGCCCCCGAGCCCTCACTCCATCCTCGGCTCAATCATCGCCTGCACCCGCAGGTCCGAGCCCCGCCTCCAAACCAAAGCTGAGGCCGCCACGCCGCGGTGCTGCCACGCATCCCAGGAGCCCCGTCTGTCCTGAGCCGTCTTCCAAATGCCCCAAACCCTCCAGCCCCTGCACTTCCCCGACCGCCACTACTGTGCCCCGCCCCACAGCCGCAGTAGCTCGGGGCCCCGCCCCTAAAGATGGCAGGCCCCCGTCAGGTGCCAACCAGCGCTCACGCCTGCTTGCTCAGCGCCGTTCGGGCTCACCGGCTTCGCGCCTCCGTCTAGAGGCCGCCAGGCGGGTGCGGACGGCCACCAGAGGTGCAGCGACGCCAACTCCCCGGGACCCCCGGCCCCCAGTTCCCGCGCCGCCTTCACCAGAGCCACCAAAGCCTCCCTGCTCTTTGCCAAAGAACAAAGAGGTCACAGCCAAAGCCAAGGGGCCCGTCACGTACAAGGTAGCCGCTGCCGCTCCACGCGGTGCCGCCCTCCCCCCGCGCAGCGCGGCTGCCCCTCCACGCGCCGCCGCCGCTTTCCCCGAGCGAATCCCAGGGGGCAACACGGGCCCTTCTCCCAACATTAAAGCCAATACGAAAACGCCAGCCACAGCGCATCGAGTGGGGCGAAAGCCAGCAGCCCCCATGGAGGGGAAGTCCACTCCAAAACCGGAGGCAACTCCAGGAGTCGGTGTGGCCCCGAAAAAAAACTGCTCCAACGTCAGAGCCGTCCAGACGGAGCCCAGCGTCTGCAAGAAGGTTCAACAACACAAGAGCAAAGGCGAAGACCCTTATTTTGAAATGAACAGCCGGAGAAGGCAGAGGACGTGACTGCCTCTGCCTTCTGAACTCTAGTCGTCACTAATCCCAAAAAGATTCTCTTCTGTGACCATTGTTTTTGTATTCGGATTTGATGTCAGTTTTTTGTCTTTGTCTTTTCCTTGTGATCTTTCTTTTCGAGGGTCATGCCTTGTATGTCTTGTCTCTGCGGTGGTTGAATGGTCGCTTAACCTGCTCAACACTAAAACTTGCACAACATTTACATACACGTGAAGCCGTTACAAATCATTTGTCATCTGACTTTCGCAGAACATAAACTTTGATTGAAAAAGCAGTCGAACAGTAACCGCAAATCTTTTGGGTTTTAGATCTATACATCAGGAAGGTTAGGGAAATGCACTTAGCTGAACATTCGCGGGTAAATCTGTAATCATCGCACAGCAGCCCGCGAGTCGTGTTTTCTACAACAGGTTACCAAAGTTGACATTTGTGGAGCTCAGTGACAAAACTGGAACACAATTAATGGTTTCTGGTGATTCTTCTGCTCCCCAGTGAGAACATTTTCCACTGGTGGATTGTCAGACGCAACATATGTGTGTTTGTAGATGTGATGTCTAGGAGGGAGAGTCTTCTGGATGGCGTTGGACAAGGCGTCATCGGGAACAGAACTTCCTGTGGTGTGCCTTCATCAGAAATGTTTTGTTTCTGAGCGGTATTAGAATGTATTAGATGGGGCGGGGGGGTTAAAGGGTTTTATTGATGAAAATTGCACAGTATGTACGAGCACTCATGACTTTGGTTTCCCAGAGAAAAGCCTAACTCGCAGATTAACTACTGAACACTTTTATTTTAAGCAGAAAACCCTTCAGAAATGATCTGATAGAATTGTTTTTATATGATTTCTAATATTTGTGTGTAAAACTCTAGTTTTCTATGTGGTGTTGTGTATACATATAGATATATATATCATCAGTGAGGCTTTTCTGTTTGGCACTTTATAGGAACCGTCATGTTTTTCGGCATTTTAATGTTTGTTCTGTTGATTTGTGTCTCTTGTTCCGGCTACCTTTTTGTCATTTTGATTAATAAATGGACAAATGTTTTAAAGACCATCCAAAGTATTTCACATTCGCTTTAACATGTTATGTTTCAAGTGTTTGAGGATTGTTTCCTCTAAAGCCTTAAAACGTTCTTAGCCTGAATACCCAACAGACTGTGGAACGAAATGAACAACGTAGAAAGAAACTAACATTGTTTGAGGCCAATTACGCTTCCTGTAAGCGCAACTAATTACTGTGGAATATTTAAGTCACAAAGCGCCTCCTAATACCATGTTAAAAGAAACCTTTGTGAGAATTACTGCAGTACCTTTAAACGACTGGAATTATTTAAATCATGCGGGAAAAGAGGCTGTCGAAGAAGCTTCTCACTTCCAGTATCCCCAAAGTGACGCTGACCTGCAACTCCTCTTAGACAGAAAGGTTCCTTCAATCAGAGACTAATGTTCGCAGGACGCAGATACAATGTGGGCCCTGAACTGAAGAGAAACCACACAGGTGATTCAAATCCAGGTTGATTGGACCCCACGACGTGTGCTAACTTAAGTGAATAAATAAATTTAATTTTATAAAGGCGATATTTTGTTGCTCATTTTGTTGTTAAAATGTTTTGTAATAGCTAAAGTGTCTTTGAACTTTCCAGAAAATCAGTTTGAAGGACTCATTAACTTCTGTAATTTAGCAAAGGGAGTCCAGTAAACATTCCACTAATCGCTATGATGAATCTGACTAATCAAAGATCACCTGTGATGGAGTCACATGCGCTCCGCTGCCCCCCGGTGGTACCAAAGAACACTACAGCAGGGCGGAGTCCGGTGGCCGAATGCTGTGATTTCTTATTGGATTATAGAATGTAATACAGCCATACATCTACTCTAATGAACATAAAACCCTCTTGTTAATCATCTTAATAAATATACTTTTTTTCCTACTCTGATTCAAACAGAACAGTAGAAGATCATTCATGTCGGCACAGCCGACAGGTCACAGGGACAACCGGCGGCTAAAAAAGGAATCCGTTATCAACTGAGATTAGACTTGTGGACAACTTCCGAGGCAATAGGAAGTTGATAGAGAGGATGTTTTGACGTGTCGCAGAAGATTAAAGCACAGGTACAAATACTAATATCATGATGGCTGAATTTTTTCATTAACATTTCTGCTTTTGTTTTTTATTTTTATATATTATAATATTATAAATACGTTTATGGAGGAAGAGATAATCAACGAACACCCTTCTATTCAGTACAATAAAATCCAGTGTGCAAATAAGACAAACATGAATGCAAAACGTTAAAACAAACTGTTCTGTGACTGCAGAGAAAAATTAGTGTGTATTTCTTATCTGTATGAAATCTTTATTCGCCTTGTCAGTCTCTCTTTTGTGGCTCGTTTGTGAGGATCGTCTTCAATTTACTGACCTGCGTGACTCCAGCAGAACCTTCAGCTTCTAAAACATCAAATCGTCCCAGACGCTTAACCTGTCTAAGCCAACTTTAAGGAAAGACGTCTTTGTCATTGAGAGCGGTTGTTTAAAGTCAAACTACAACTATATTCACAAGGGATGTTTAGATAACAGCCAAGCGACGCAAAGTAAATGAAGTACTTTGTTCCATTGAGAACAACATAGTTGCGTCAATCCAACTCTCCCCAGGTGAAATGTCTCGCTTTGCAGATTGTTAGTAGTTTGTGACTTTTGTAGTGGACGTAATTAACATTGAAAACCATCCAACACATTCAAAGAAAAGATCTTCTTGAACACTTTGTGATTCGTTCAAATCTCATTTAAGAGTTAAATAAAAGTGGCGTTCAGGGAAAAAAAGGTCACAGTCTTTTGTACAAAACTTTTTTAGCTTTTGCAAACTCTCCAGCAGAGTGCCAACGTCCTACTGGGACCGTCTTCCAGTCTGCTGATCTGGGCTCAACGTCCCACAGACAGTTCTGAGGGCCGGTGCTCCTTCGGGCCTCTCCGCGGCGGCGTGGGCCGTGCGAGGCTTACAGCAGCAGAGGCGTGTGCTCTCCGGCCGGCTCCATCCTCCTGGTGAGCTGCCGCGCTCGGGCCAGCAGCCGGTTGCGCAGCGGCGGGAAGTGGTAACTCGGGTCCAGGACGTTGGTCTTGCGGCGCTCGCGTTCCTGCAGCCACATGAGGTACGGGCTGGGCGGGAAGAAGGGGCGGGTGCGCTCGCGGTACAGCTGCAGGACCACGCCGGAGACGCCGAGCACCACCCACACGGTGATCATGACGTAGTCTGGGTCGACGGAGGGACGAGACGAGGTGTTGAGAGGGAACGTTTGATCTGATTCGCACTGCTGAGGCCGTCACCGGCGCTGTGAACTCACCCGCGGATTGGAAGGGCACGTCAGTGAACACGGCGCTGAAGTAGTCGTTGAGGAAGCGCTTGAGGATGTTCAGTGTGATGAAGGACAGGCTAGTGTAGATGTAGGCGTTGACGGCCAGAATCACGGCGTAGGCCCCGACGGCGCCGCATGTGACGATGTTTCCCTGGGGTCAGAGAAACCAGACAAAAACACCACCGGATAAATGACATTGTTCTTTTTGTTTGTGAATACAAAACATACAGATGAAGTGATTTGTATGTTTTGTATTCAACGGTTGGGAACATGTACTTCGAACGAGGTGATTCTAACGAGGTGAAGCCGATCACTGTGGAATCCTTTCATCGTACCACTGGATGGCGCCAAAGTAACTTAATAAAATCCTACAAGGACTCGGGTTGAAGCGAAGCTCCTCCTCAACAGATACCGCGCCTACAAGCGGTCAGTGGTTTGAAATGGCATTAGACCTGTTACAGATGGGTTAGTCACCGTCTGCGTCCTTTAAGGCATACACAGGAAGGGTTACATTTACAGAGCGTTACCTCTCTGGGCCATCGCACGAAGAAGAGTGGAACAGTGACCATGATGCAGCAGAAGGTCGACCAGAAAACGGCGTCGGAGCGTCGGAGTACGTTGAGGTCCCCTAGGCAGAGAGCACGACCCACAGAAACACGTGTGGAACACACGTTCAATATATTACACGTGAGGTATATCAAAGAGCCACTGAAGGCCTCTGCTTCCTACCGAGAGGCGTGAAGAGGACCGTGGAGGCCACCAGGAAGCCGAGCATCAGTCCAACCACGACGACGCAGGCCATGACGGAGCCGAAGCGCCACCAGCTCATCACCAGGATGACCCCGCCCGCCACGCCGATCACCACGGAGACGGCCAGACAGACTGCAGAGAGACGGACTCGCGTTCAGATTCCTCGTACCGACCGGCTTGAGGTGGTAAAAAAAAGACAAAAAAACACTCACTGTCGTAGTCCAGATCTGTGGTCCTTGTGATCAGCACGAAGAAGAAAAACGTCGCAAAGCTGAAGCCCATGCAAAACAACTCTGAATGACAAAGAGGCAGAAACAGAGAGAAAGAGTGAAGAAAATGCCTTCACACGCCACAGTAGTTGAAACGCGCCGTAGAAGCTCATCACGCGTGAGGGAGACCACACGAGAGGCCTAGCGGTCATTGTCGTGACCGATGTCTATCGTGGTGAGGGGTTAAGTAAAAGTATCAATGCCACAGCTTCAACTCTGGTTAGGTCATTTTCTACATCTCTATGTTGAAGGACAAGAATCACAAACATGACCTCTGACCCCTACTAATCTACCCTGCTGATCCTAAGACGAACTGTGTCTGGATATAGCCGAGACGTGACGTCTTTAGTCTGAGGGGGAAAAAGGAAGGCCCTTTTTAAAGAAACATTTTTTTCAGACCGAAGACTAAAGTGCGTGAGGCCTTCAGAGCTTCCACTGCTGCCTCCAGGCTTTGCTAGAGCCTCACCTCGCTGGAAGGGGCCCCCGGTTTCCCTTATCTACACAAAGTGGTACAACTCTTTTCTGGCCAATTTTACAAAGGGTCTTTGAATCACTCCTGGTCTTGAGCTTTGGATGGGATCGGAAGGATGAGATGGCAGAGCTTCAGGCCGAGGAGCTCGGAGGAGAGCCGCTGCTCCGACAGCTGAGACTGGCCTTCGACGAGGATGCCTTTTTTAAGAGGATTTCCAAGAGGAACTAAACCCGGAACACACAGGACGGGTTCTGGGAACGCCTCGGACAATGCTACTGGGCTAAGGGACGTCTAGACCACCTCGCAGACAACACAGCCCGGTGATTAACGAATAAATGGCTTGGTGTTATGAGGGTGGTTAAAAATATATACGTGTAATATATGATACCACCATAACAAAGTTGCATAAAGCAATACCACTCACCACATTTAAAGAATCGATGCCCGAAGAAACAGACAAACAGGCCGGCCAAGCCAGCGATGGTGAAGAAAATCTTTGTAGAGATCTTTCCTGAAAGGAAAAAATTATACAAATCGTGAACTGTGTTCAAAGCAGCGAAAGGTCAAAGCGTCTCTCCCAGCATTCCTTAACCTCTGCTAAAAACGTCCTGATATCTCTGAGGGGTATTTCCTGTATTTCATCTGGAGACGTTGGTGTCAGAGGTCACAGGTCATGGGAGATGTCTTTACAACCATTTTTTCCCGGTTAGGATTTCTCCAGTGTTTATCGTGCACAATGTAGAAACATTGATTAAAACTGGATGAAAGGTGAATTTATGACAGCTATTAGCAAACAACCACAAGGCTGAGGCCTTGCATGACGAAGGCCAAATTGATTAAAGGGATGGATACAAGAATGGAAGTAAACAACTCAATATATATAATAGGGTTATTTACCAATCTTCAACGAAGTTAGAGAATCATCTCATGCAAAAGATGATTTAGTTCCCGATATAAGTTGTATTAACATTTTTTTGAAGCCAACTGAAATCAAATTAAATAAAACATCAATTGAATAACAACAATATTTATTGTTGTACAATAAGGGTTTGATTGTAAAAAATACAAAAGAGAAAGTGGGATTTTAATTTATTTTTACTTTCACCCCAAAAAGACACAATATTATATTCTTCTCATCTTCTAATAAGATAAAGCACTTTATCTGTGGTTATGTAAACACTCTGTTTACTGATTTACCGGGGAGTGAATTCATGTCTTCGGATTCTGATCATATTGGGCTTTTACATCGATTTTTCTGGGCCTTCTATTTTATCGGTCAACAGTCAAAATAGTCAATATATTTGTGATTTTTCTCGTAATGACACATTCAAATTGCCGCTTTCAATAATCACTATTGACATTCAAGGGTCCATTTGCAATACCTATTGAGGAACAAATATTTAATTTGCTAAGTAGCTTAATGTGACGGGTGTAATTGATCAGTGTGTTTCCTGGGCCGCTGAACGAGTGCTGTAAAGGCTAGAAGAGCTGCATGTGGAAATATAATATAACATAATCATCCATCAGTTGTAGGTCTGGATACAACCGCTGCCACTATAAGTGACCCGATATATAACATTGGTCTTCTAATTTTTAGACATCAATGTGGTGATGTTACATAGTTTTACCTTTCAACCAAACATCCCTTTATTTATTGGAGCTTTTCTTCTGCCAAAATCCAATGGGAAAATCCTTTTGAATTGAATCAACACAAAACTTTAAGAGGCGGCCAAATAAAAAAAGATCAATCGCTATGATTTGCCTTAACCCAAGATTGTTCCTTCATAAATGTTTTTATTCACAAAGTCATAATTAACTTCAGTATATTATACAGAGCAAAGATAACAACTGAAAAGGCCCCGTTCTGTGGAATGGCGGAGCGAGGCCCGGCAGCTCACCGAGTGTGTGACAGCCGTCCAGCGTGGAGGCGAAGCTGCAGGCGTAGGTGTGGGCGGGGACGTAGGAGGCCGAGGCGTTCCTCAGCGAGTCTCTGACCACCACCGAGTACACGACGCCCTGCCCGGGGATGGAGTTGAACCCCGCCGTGCTCGCGTCTGACGCTAGCAGCGTCATGACCTGCAGCGGGAAAAGGGCCCAAGGAAAAGTGAGCTTCTCTTGTTAACGAGCTAATAGGAGCGAGAGGAACGACGGTGTTCTTGGCGTCCCACCCGTTTGCCGTTCTTCATCGCGCCCTGGACGTCCGCCACGGCCTGAATGGCGGCGAAAAGGCTGCTCTCTGACAGGTCGTTCTCGGGCAGGAAATACTGGTAGACGTCGTACCGCAGCCGCCAGCGTGTGTCCGGTTCTGTCGATGTGTCGCAGGCCGGAGGAGTTCCTCCCCTGATGGAGAGCCAACCTTCAGGTGTTATTATAATTTATCATGTTAGTATTTATCAGTGCTTCCCCAGCTGTCAAGACCCCCTTTGAGGATATAGGGACATTCTGCCCCTGCCCCCCAGCCAAACCCCCAAAAAGACTCATGTGGTTTGGGAACCGCTATGATGAACCGTCTATAACAGTGGTCCTCAAGCACCGGGTAGCAGACCGGTAACGGTCCGTGGGCCAATTGGTACCGAACCTTCCCACAACAAGAGGATTCCTTCCACAAAACCCTGAAAAGCCACCGTTACAAAGGAAGTGCAGAAACCTTTTCCTTCTCGCAAGCTTTCCTCATTCCGATACAAACAAAAGAACAAAACCTTTCCGAGACATTTAACCACAGTGGAGTGCACTGCTCGGCTCTGCCGGGTAACGAATGCACAATAGGAAATGATTCAACAAGTGAACGAGTCCTGCCGTTCATCCATCTGCGACGTCTGACAAATAACGGACGTTCTGAAGGAAATGGAGCGATCGCTTTCAGCCGCAAAGTAGAAGGAAGAGAGGGCACGAGATGATTTTAGAGGAAACACAAAACAAAAGAGGTGGTTTGCCCACAGGCCTTGGTTGACAAGAGAGAGCCAAACAGGAAGCTGAGCAGACGATGGCCATCCTTCTGCCGTTTTACCTTTCGTAGCCTAAGTTGGCCGGGGCAAAGCGGATGGTGGTCTCGTAGAGGTTGTAGAGGATATAGACGTTCGGGTCGATGTCCAGGTTGACCTCCGCGTTACAAGCTCCAGGGACTGGATCTAAAAAGGGAACAAGAACAAGTCATTAGCAGCTGCTGTGTCGGGCATGTTGGGCCGAGAGAAGACAAAAACGATATTCCCCTGAGGCTTTAGTAGCATCCTCTGGAAGACTTTTAGTTTGGCTGAATCAACACACAAGGGGCCCTCCGTCTGCCAGCGCTCACTCATGGTCTCCTCAGGTCCAAACTCCCATCAACTGAGTAGCTTTTTCTGGCTGCAACATCCTTGTTTTTTCAGAGTGGTACAACCCAATGGCCCAGGAGGAATGTCAGAAAAGAAGTACCGGTGCTGGAGTACGGCAGGACGACCCCGGTGCCCGCCACGGTGTCCTCATCCGGGGAAGACATGAACAAGGAGAGGGTCGCTTGGCTCGGAACGAGAGCCGAAAGGAGCCCCGAGTCCACCGCCGTCAGAGAGGGGCCCAGGCCCGGCATCTAAGGCAACGCAAGGCAATTTTATTTGTACAGCACGTTTCAACAACAAGGCAACAGTCCAGGTCTCAAAGTCAGCAGTTTTCAAGTCGGTTTTTGGTTTAAATGAAGCCGAGGCCAACGGGAACATCACTTGCTAGTATTTGTTCAGAGACAAACCAAACGATGGTGCTTGAGGAAAGTCGGAGGGATTGCCCAGGACAAAAGGTCATGGCGAGTGGTTGAGTCAGACAGCATTAAATTGAAGTACTAGTTTCTCTTCTGAAAACAACCCTCCTGTGTCTTTGTGGAACTGATCACTGTGTAATTACTCCACCTGTGTGATCAGGATTCTCTGCAGACGGGGCTCCTAAACGCTCTGCCATCTTCATAAAGGCTAAAGCCCCGTCTGCTGACCTCAATAATCTCATGGCTCTTAAGAACTTATGGAAAGCCTAACAAGTGATGTATGTCTGTGGTACACAACGCCGTGCACACACTGCAGCGGGGGGATAACCTGCTGCTTTCACCCCGGCTCCTTTTCCCCTATGAAGCAAACAATGTCGCCAGTAATGGGAAAGTAAAGTGTTCCATCCCATCAAAACTATGTGTAGTTATTACTGTTATTGCTGCAGTATGACTGTGTTTTATGTAGGATAGTAATACATTCTAGTATTCGCATGCATTTTTTTTGGTTTCGTTTACTACTTCCTCTGCACGCAGAGATTTTTTATGAAGTTCACCACATTTAACTGAATGTGGTGAACTACAGAGCAACACCATCATTAATTTAGTCGAGTTGTTGTTAGCATCCTGCGTCGCGCTGCATAACCGCCGGGTTTCCTGCAAATGAATTGCTTAACAGGTAGTAGAGGTTCATTTATAAACAATCATGGGTGAAAACAAACAAGTATGTGTGGAGATATGAGAAAGTAGGTACAATTTGCAATAATCGGAACAGTGCGGCTGAGAAAACCTGAAGACAAGGCAATATTCATATATATATGAATATATATATGGTTGGAGTTCATCTCGCTCTCAGGGTCACAGACCCAAACATTGAAGTCTGTTGGATTCCATCATCTCACGTCGATGACCAGAACAACATTTCAGAACTTTTATCCAAAAACAATGAATGACGAGTGAAAATTGTGGGAATACTGACAAAATAAAACTATTTTTCTCACAATATTCTTAAGCTCCTCTTCACTCTGTGACCTTTCCTTGTGCTCTAAGATGCGCAATACACACAAGTCTAACACGCAGAAACGGTCCAAAGAATTCCTAAAACAACCAGTGATTCTGAATACAGTCATATTCAGACACTACAAGAATATTAAGAATATAGAAGAGTGTGAATCTGGACATGAGAATGATGTATTGCTGTTCAATAAGTCATGCCGTCCCGTGGTTCATATTGACAGAAGATTCACACACCCTCTACCTCCCTCTTGAGTTCTCTGGTCTCCGAGCAGCTGGGACCAGTAATGTTCTAGTAAGTCATTCAGACGTGTATGTGTGTTCTCCACACAGACACCGCATGACACCAGAGAGACTAAACTGTGGGTTCACTCGCCTCGTTACCAGCGACAACCGACTTTCAGAGAAAGGAAACACTCATCAAATGCTTGAAATGATTTTAAATCCTAAGAACTATGAACCAGCACTTTCCACGGCACCTTCCTAAGACATCTCTGTATCTGTTATTGTCCACACAGAATGTTCACAATATAACCTACGTATTACACACACACACACAATTTCGCCAACACACCACACTGACAGGAGCGCTTTGGCAGGTGAGGGCTTACTTTAGAAAGGTCTGCCTGTGCCATGGAACACCTGTGGCTTCCAGATGATTGGCATCAAAGTCCCCCCTGGCATATTGTGGCGGACAGCAGAGGGCAAGTTCTCCTCTTCGGGGGAACAAACCAGGGATCGGATGAATTACTGTTGTGTGAGACTGAAACTGTCCCCACACAGTACGGCTTTCTGTCCGACTGCTCATTCAGTGACTGCATTGTATGAAGCTCGTCTTGTTGTTGTTGGCGTCGGCGCTATTTGGTTCTTGTACGATTTGGTGGTTATATTTTAAAAGGCCACAGAGTTAGAGAAACTGCCAAGCATCCTAATCCTTCTAATAGCGAGGAAAGGATTTACAGCCGTGTGACCAGGACGCGCATTCCGCAGTGACTACGATCTCATGCATACTCCCATCCCCTGTTCTTTTGGACGTGAGGGTTTGGACTTATTCCTGTTCAAATGGAGCATTTTCCAATCGAGATATCAAACTTTAGGAGCCTCCTTTGGATCCATTCAGCCGACTTTATATAGTATGTAGAGGCTGCATGTTACTAGGAATATTAGTGGGATATTCATTTTCATTCGCCATGTAAACCACTTAGAATGAATATTGCCTTTCATTGTTGTTTAAAATAACTGAATATTTTGAGCATGTAAACATAGTCAGTGATCAGGATCCTGTATATTCAGTTCTATGTTGTAAGAAACCACGTGCAACTTCCATTTCTTTAGTGCTTTGGTGAATCTGGTTTTCTACATCTGGTTTGTTAACATGGAAAGTCGTTAAAATGGAGAGTCATTAGCATCAATAAGTACACTATCTGACAGAAGAGATACCATCAAGCGTTTAAAAGAAGGATCTTGTGGTTGACTGCCTGCAGTGTGTGAGAGTAAGAAAAAGTAACTGGAAAAGGAAACGAGTGAAATAGAAATAGAAAATTTTATAGAAATAGAGACAATATGAAAATAAAGTAAGAAGTGTGCATGTCCACTCAATAAACCCACTTTTCCCCCCTCCTCTTTTTCGCTGTGAATTTGCTCAGGCGGTCTTGTTTGTTCTGGCGCCAGCGACCGGCTCCATCTCGGCTGACTTGACGCACATTTGCACCAACATTAGTTTGGACCCTAACCGAGCTGTCCCCTGAGACTTCTGGGACGGATGCCAGAAGGTTTTTGTTTTTCCGCCCCGTCTGCCGCTCATGACCAGGGGACCGCACATCAGCTGACTGCCTCTTCTCTCAGCGGGCCAGACGACCTCGCTCACAAAGCCTCATTCATTTGTCAGAGAGAACTAGCTGCCGACTCCTACACGAAGCATACCTCACAGTTTAGTGAGCGCCTTCAGTTTTTACTGCTATTGCTAAAAGAATGAATCAATCCACAAAGAAGGTGGTGAAACTCATCAGATCATCGGGATTCTGATCTGCTGATTTAGCAGAACCCTGCATTTCAAGTTCTTAAACACAGCTTTCTTGAATTTACTTTTATAGCAAAGTCATGCTCAGTGCGACCTCTGCACCACGAGGAACATGCCAGCGTGCTCCCAAACAACTGGTGCCTGTCCATCTGTGAAGCAGTGAAAATGTGTTTCTCAGCACTGTCGCCTCACAAGGGGAAGGGGCTGGATTTGAAACCAGCCAGCGGCCTTTCTGTGTGGAGTCTGCATGTTGTCCCCTTTTCTGCGTGGGTTCCGCCCCTCAGGCCAAAGACATGCTCTGGGGATTAGGTTAATTAGTGACTTCAGACCGCCCGAAGGTGTATGAGTGTGAGAGTGAATGATTGTCAGCCCTGTGTTTAACTGGCGAGCAGTCCAAGGTGTCTCCCGCTCTCCCCCGTGTTCGGTGGGATGGACTCCGCCCCACTAAGGATAAGCGGTATAGAAGAGGACTGACTGACTGGTGGGAGTTTTCTCTTGTTAGACATATTGGCCGTAGAGATGTCTCATAATAACATTATAATAAGCTTGTGGTGCTCAAAGGGACATAAATCACTCAACATCTTTCCAGATAAAATGACCCAGATCCTCAAGATAATCCACAGACCTGGTTGAGAACAGTTTTGTGTAGGAACTATTATCTTTCAGACGTGGCTAGCTGCCTCCTTCTGTTTAAAAGCGTCATGCTAAGCTAAGCTAACCAGCTGCTGGCTGTTGCTCCATCTTTAGTGCACAAATATGAGAGTTGTAACGATCTAGCAACAGTTTTTGAGAAGATGCGGGGAGAGATGTGCCAGTCAGTCAGTGGTCAGCACTTCCTCACCCTGGAGTAGGAGAGCGTGGCGTTGCGGTGCTGCGTGTGGAACTGCAGGGTGACGTAGGCCACGTCTGCAGGGATCCGGGACACCACAGCCTGCACCGTCTCGTTCCGGGAGACGCTGACGTTCTGGAACGTCCCCAGCAGGAAGATCACCCGGTCTGCGACAGAGAGGGGAAAGGTATTTGTTTAACATCTGTACAAACGTCTCTAACGTCCAGACTGCAGTGGGCCGCCCTTATTTTAGATGTGACTTCTGGCCTATAAAACACACCAGCTGTTCATGTAGGAGGTTTCTTGTTGGTTAAAAAGTCAAAAACACTTTAAAAATATTTCAACAACAACAATACAATCTTAACACTTAGTAAAATCATAAAAATGATTTGTTCTTCTTCCGGGATTTCCAACGTCTTCAACTTTTATCTGGATAACCTTTGGACTGGTCAATATCATCCTCTAATCACGTGCTTGGGTCAATGCTATTTTTCTGCTCCATTCAAATGAAACAGTAATAATGAATCCACTAATGATGTACAAACTGTTGAGTAAAAGCCCCGGATTTAGTGTGTAACACCACGACCACTTCAGATAATCACCTCGCATCAGAAACCCTCCAACCACAAGACCTGAGAAGCACGTGTTTGACCAATGCATGAGAAATAAAAGCAAGGCAACTTCTTCAAGTCATGTCATCACTGCGATGCTTCCTCAACACTCCGGATCACTCACGCAATGACAAAGTGAGATAAATCAGTTTCGAAGCCTTCCGGCTTCAGCAAAAACATCACAGCCTCCAGCATGTTGTTCTCCACTGCTATCTGGCAAAGTCTTTATTTATTTACCTATTAGACACTCAGGATCACTCAACCTGGTTACAAGACCCCGTTCGATTACAACACACACACACACACGCGCGCACACACACACACACACACACACACACACACACACACACACACACACACACACACACACACACACACACACAACGTTTAAATCCACTGTTTTGATTAATCAGGGGGACAAAATCAACACATGACCCGGCGTCTGTTTGTGAGAAAACGCTCCCTGACGTCAACTCAAACTATCCAGCAAATAACGATCTGAACCGAGTGACACTTTAGTGATTAAATGCAGTGTCGCGGAATCGAACCCAATCAAGCTGCCAGAGGCGAACGACGTTGGTCAAAGTGAAAGTAGCGTTACAATAAACTGATTTTCTGCAGTGACTCACTTTCCACCTGCGCCTGAACTCCATGAGCCAGAAGAAGCAGCAGCAATGTCCCCGGAGACATGTCTCCTGCAGCTGTCGGTCTCTAAGCAGAGTCCCGCTGTGTCCTCGGGGGGTCACCTCGCTGGTATCCTCGCAGCCTCCCGTATCTGGGCGGCAGAAGCGACATGCTTGGCTGGAACTGAGTGGTTTCTCGAGACAGGCTTTCTGCGTGTGAGGAAACACGCTCTCGGTGACGCGACGGCTCCCCCCTCCCTGCGCGAGCCCCCCCCCTCCCTGCGCGAGCCTCCCCCCTCCCTGCGCGAGCCTCCATTCAGCAGAGGACTGAAATACTTCTCTAATGTTTTTTTTATTTTTATTGTTTTAATGCTCATTCTGAAACCTCCGGTCTGGTTCTGTAGCGATGTTTAAAAGCATGCACGTGGGAACCCGTTGACGTCACAGTCTCAGATATAAGCTAATTATAACAGCAGAGTAAATTATACTGACAAGCACAGCATTAACGTCAAAGCAGTCAAAAAATGCTGCGCTTGTTGATTTACAGAAATGTAATAGAATATATAATCCTCTCCGACATTATTGTGCTTAGTGCAGCTCTGCAGCAGAAGGGGAAGTTGAATGTTGCATGAGATCCTGTGTTGAATGATGGTTCTATTCCTGCTCTCGAGCTACTCAGTGTTTCAGTGGTTTTGTCGTTGGTTTCCCACGCACGGTATTTCCACACACGGTATGTCGGTGTGGCGCTCGCAGCAGCGGACTGACAACCCCCCCCCTTAGAAGTTGTGAACCTATGGGACAACAACGTATTCTAAGCCAGATGTTAAGTAACCCGCTCAGCCCACAACACAGAACTAAAAACAGAGACAACTTACATGTTTATTTATTCATTTATTTCAACTCAAGCCCTTCTTTTACCCATTCATACATTAAAACCTTGCAGGCACCACAGTCTCATGCATGCTGGCTAAATGACAAAACATAACTGAAGTACAGAAAGAAATAATAATGAGACAGATCTTTCCCGCTGCTTGTTGTCTGAATCACCAGACGAGAATACAGCTCTGCAGCATCACGCCGTAAATGCTCCGGGAGAAAGGAGACTATACAGAATGTGTGGGGGTGAAAGAAGAGGCTGTATGTGGCAAGACACTGTACACAATAGTGGCAGCGGCAGCAGGGAGGGAGGGAGGGGGGGAAGGGGGGGGGGCTCGGCGGTCACCATAGGCTCCCTAATTCTTTCGTAGGCTGATGTCGGCGCTGGTCAACAACGGCGACAGTGACGTGTTCTCTGATACGTCGTCTCTCTTCAGGACCAGGAAAGCCTCGCGACTAATTCCCAGCAGCTCTCGGAGGCCGCTGTTCTCCAGCTAAGGCGCGCGGGAAGAAACATCCAGTCATGCATTCACAAATAGCACCAATGATCCTGCTATACTTTTGTCACTGCTAATGAGAAACCTTCCATTCATTTGACGGCGCATCAATCAATGAATATGAGGGTCTTTTCTTTTACCTCTAGCTGTTTAATCCTCTCCTCGTCTTCACATATTCGGCCCTCGTCCACCTCAATCGCCTTCCTCATCACAGAGGCCATCTCGCTGATCTTGTCTATGTGCGCTTGCATTTCCTACAAAGGTGAAGAACAAATCATTACTAAAAAGGCGGTGGTAATTGTGAAAGTGGGTCTCAGCTGTCACTGTTTTTCAGCTTAAGATCCAATAAGCAGGCACTTAAAAGTCGGATTAAGTCTGCCTCACTGACCGTGGTGTGCTGCTCCTTCAGCTGCGTCACGATGGTGGGGTCGTCTCTCTTGCTGGCCATGAGGAGCCTGAACACCTGCTCCCTGTATTTGGTCATGATGAGCTCTAACGCAGACTGGTGTTCATCCAACGACGTTCGTAGCTCTGCAGGAAGAGCAAAGACAGGATGGATTTTTGGAGACATTACTCCAGCAAACCTCTTCAAGGACGTCTGTCCACTACATGTGGCCCTGCTGTGATGAACCATCTCTATGTTTGTGACAAACAGGAGTACACTCCTTAAAGTAATAGCCCATTTTTTTTGATAGCAGCCCAAAAAAAACCCCCACAAAGCAGCCCTCCCACAGTAATTATAACGTCACAAACGACACGCCTACCTTTGTTTTCCTGCTGGAGATCTCGGATCTGACGGTTTTCCTGTTGGATTCCTAGGACCAGACTAGAACGAGGACGATGTCGCGCTACCTGGTTTAATGAGTCAATCTCCTCCTGGTACTGCCAACAAGAAACCACCTCCCATTAGACAACTGCAAGATTTCAGTTAAGAGTTTTAGACATCTCATAATTAACGGTGGTTGGCATTGCTTCCTGCACTAACTCTCATCAGAGGGTCAATGTTAGTTTTTAGTTATTGTGCATTGAAGTATCTATAAAAAGAACATTCCTATTTCATTGTCACCAACATTATGTGATAGCATACCTGTTGCATGGCCTCCACTCGCTTGTTAAGCGATGTTGTCTGTTCAATTAACATCTCGGCTGCGTTGTCATGGTTACGGAGACGCTCCACTAATGATTTGGCATCTGCCAGGACTTTATCTAAAGTACAGTTCATGCCTGAGGAAATAAAAGTCAGCATTACTATAAACTACAATAAACTAATACAATCTAGTTTTGGTAGAAAACAAGTGATGGGATGTATTTAAGCGTTCTACATACCAGGTAAGCTCAATACTAATGCATTTTGTGATCAATAAAATAATTGTGTGCGCTGGGCTAGTATGTTCCCTTTCCTCCCATCTCAATTCATATACTTGACGATCGGATCGAAATGTGTACATATAAATATAGCTTTATCTAATATGACATGCCCAGCCCTCATTAGTGGTATTTAAAATGGCTGTACTTTCATCCTATTCAATAAATTAGGGGCAGATAAAGCAATTTACGCCTCATCCCGCTTATTATACGTATACCCAAACTGATTTCCCTTTGCATCTTTAGGCTGCGATCAGACTACATTGATACAACTAGAATTCACTGCTCTGTGTAATATCCAGAGAAAACAGTCATGACTTATCAAAGGAGAAATCCTCCCTTCTTCTAGTCACACAATGGATGTCAGCCAACTCGCCCAAGCTAACATTAAGTTACATTTTGTTACCTGTACACCACAACTATAGAATAAACATCTTAGCAGTGTTTCTGATTCAGTTAATTGCCCGAGTGACGTTAAATCTTATGCTATCATCTATGCTAACTTGTTAGCCAACGTACAACCAACATTCCAGCTGTCATACAAATCCATACAATTCAGGTTCATATTTACAAACATGTTCTTACTGGTCGACTCGTATCACAAATGAGCTGTCTTTTTTTTAGAAATGTAAGTGAAGAAGAAACTGTCGTACCTGGGGAATTCAAAGTGAAAGACATTGGAGTTTAGCCTGTCCGCCGTTACTTCCTGTTGATGTATTATAGTAGCTAATATTAGCTAAATGCTAACATTAGTCTCCATCAAGGGGCAACAAGTCGGGTTAGAGGTCACGATGCGGCACTATTCTTTTACACAAGGATGTGATAGCAGGCATGAGCTTTGAGCTTGATTTATCTCGTTTAAGTCAGAACTGAATATGATTATAGCAACAACTAACATAAACGACAATTTGCCGACTAAAGATGCCGAAATCCCGTCAAAATCCCGCGAGATTTTTTGTCTGAACATTCTCGCGACAATAACAGAGAGAGAGACTGTGCAGGAAATATGGCGGACAGGCTAACGCAGCTCCAAGACGCTGTCAATTCGGTAGGACACATTTTGGAATATTTAGACGTTAGCTAAAGAAAATAAGTCCATTTTGACTAGTTTGCTAGTTTAATCTGAAGTTGGTAGGTAGTGTCTAGTGGCCCCACTTTGTTGAGTAACCCTGTAAACATTGTTAGATCACTGGGTAGCTACCCTCGACCAACGGCCTGTAACGTTACCGACCAACACGTTCATCTTCACTTTATGTTCCACTCAAACGGAAACATTTGCTATTTGTGAGGTTACGGGGGGCGGACTGGCACCGTCCACCACTAGACGTATAAACGCACGCTGTTGTCGCTTCCTGTTCAAACCGAGTGGTGTTGTTTTGTGTGTCCAGCTTGCAGATCAGTTTTGTAACGCCATCGGCGTCCTGCAGCAGTGTGCGCCTCCGGCCTCCTTCAGCAACATCCAGACAGCGATCAACAAAGATCAGCCCGCAAACCCAACCGAGGGTCAGTCGTTCGTGATCACCCGTTCTTATCATCGTTATTTACTTCTTTGCCTTCTCATCAATAGAACTTGCCTCTGAAGAGTTAGTGGTTAACATTGATACACCAGTCATCTGTTGGGGTGATGTGATTCATTGTTTCACATTTAGCTCATGTTATTCCAAATACTATCTCCTCTATCTCTCCACAGAATATGCCCAACTATTTGCAGCCCTGATCGCCAGAACAGCCAAAGATGTGGATGTACTAATCGACTCCCTGCCCAGCGAGGAGTCCACGGCAGTTCTGCAGGTCGTCACACGTACAACTAACTTTCAGATTTATTGGTTACAGATCACACGATGGATTCGTGGAAAAATCCCAGCTGGTATTTGTGGCTTTCAGTCAGCTAATGGGGCCAAATCAACGCTTGTACAGCTGCTTTATATTATTTGACTAGAATGAGGAAACTGATGTCCACTCATGGATATAAAGTAAACAAATAATTGGTGTATTCTTAACCACATTGTAACACCAAATAGGTATACACAATAGTTTAAGGTTTGATCGATCAAACCGCTCTCTCTCACCGCCGCGCTCTCTGCGCAAAGCGGTTTAAATGAACGACAACAATAAACAAATGCATTGTTTTTTGTTTTGTGCAAGCAATTTAAGGTTGAGATTCTTGTCCCAAATATGGCAGGCTTCATTTAATGATTGAGACAAATATTATTAGCATTAATTGTTTCACAGTACTGACCTTGAACGCTCCGAGCGAGCTGTGCTGTAAACATGGAACTTTTCCTTGGCATTAAAGGGCAAATAATCAAACTAGTGCATGAAGCTGTTGTAGCTTATTGTATTCATGCAGTATATAGTCAGTTGTCAGGCGCGCGCCCACCCGCAAAGCAGACAGTCATTTTTTCGAATACATTCAAATATTAATTTTCACATTTGAATATGGAATATTCATTGACAGCCCTAACTGTGATGTCAATTCCAGTTTATCTTCAACAGCTGAAATACTAAGACCAAGTGATGTTCCATGTGGAGTATCAGTTTATACAATGATACTAAATGACAGTTTACAACACAAACATTTTGAAGAAAAAGTCAAAGAGAAGTCCTCTTTCTCCCTCTAGAGGGAGATAAAAACCAAGTCACAGTGAATTTCATTCAAACAATAAAAGACGCAACGATGTCGAAAATAACAATCTTTTTATTGCCTTGAAAGGTGCTTCATCAGAGTTGCTCACATGAGTGCTGGAAATAACCGTACAGTGAGTCTATATTTATACAGTTGTGATGTGTGACGCAATGTTTGGAGACTTAACAAGTCAGTAAGAAGGCAAAGTAAGAGTACCTTAAAGCTGCTCTTCAATAGCTTAAATATATGGAAGCACTTTTATTTTTATTTTCTGTTGTCTGAAAACTGATGCTTTTTCCATCCTGGTCAGTGAGTCACTGGTCCATCAATTACAAACCAACTGGCAGCTTCTTGTCTGTACAACACACCTCCTGCCATTGATCAGTGAAACCGTATGAGACATTCTCTTGTTTACCATAGTTTGTACAATTTTCTTTTTACTTGGGTCTTTTTACAAATATAAAGGAGAAAAAGAAAGATTTCCGCCATCAGTCGATGTACAATATATCCACCACTTTAAATGACGCGTTCCCTCTCGTCAGGCGGCCAGTCTGCGGCAGCTGGAGGAGGAGAACCACGACGCCGCAGCTCGCCTGGAGGAGGTGGTTTATCGCGGTGACGTGCTGCTCGAGAAGATCCAGAGCGCCCTGGCTGACATCGCCCAGTCTCAGCTCCGCACACGCAACGGAGCGCCAAGCCAGCCCTCGCCGACAGAGTCCTGACCCGCGGCGCACACCGTGAAGTCCTGGACAATTCTCCATTCATTGACTCTTCATTTTCACCCTCAGACATCAGCTGATCGCCTCAAAACAGTCAGAGTGTGTCTGTAGAGGAAATGCAAATGACATGTCATTTGGTTGCTTAGCAACGCTATATTCAAATGGTAAAGGTGGGTCTTCACGGACGCACTGTTTTCAAAAAGGACTTTTCGCTTCACATGATACGATATCTGTTGTCTCCAAAAGATTGGTCTGAATGTGTGAATTGTCACCACTTTTTTTTATTTTTATTTTATGTGGATCAAGTCTGTTTTTTTGGGGGGGGTTTGTAGATATTTATGAATGTGAAATGATTTAAATTCTCGTTGTGGAGTATCTCCAGTGAAAAAGCTCTAGATCTTTAGAAGCTTTAGACCAGTTAACAAACCCACTCCGCTCACTGTAACTGACACTTTGGTTTAATTTTAAAAAAAATAAAGTTTGATACACTTTGGAGATCAAATTTGTTTGAATTTTGTGTCACACACGTTTGTTTTGTGATTCGATTGGAGGATTTATCTCTGCAACTCAAAGGATATTTATTGTGACGGTGGTGCTTACAAGCAATTTCCCACAAATGTATATTTGTTTTAAAAATGTCAATTCAAATCTAAAGTCCATGCAACATTTTAACAGTATTCCACAACATAGCTGGGATGCTTTATTGGAAGGTATGTCCTAAATTGTTGTTTGTTCATCATGCTACTCTTACGCTACATATTTCCTCAAATATACAAACAATAAATCATGACATCACACAAAGTATGAAGTCTCCAAAATGATATGATGGATCCCTTCTGGTGTGCCTTATAGAAGTTATCTAATTTTCACTATTAGAACACGTATGTGTTTTCGTAACAACTTCAAAAACAGTTTTTTTTTTTTTTCTATTTCAGAAGGTTTGAGAGGACTAAGGGAGTACGATTCTAAAAGATAACGAAGTATCAAGGGGTATCATTTGGAAGAGGGCTGCTGATATAGACCTATATGGGAACTGGCCAATTTAATATTCAATAGTAGAAATCAGAAAATTACGGGTGGAAAAAAATATTTTTAGAGTTCTGTTTTGTAAACCCTACCAATTAAATTGTATAATGTTATTTTGATATCTAGATCCCTCAACCATTCTTTAATAACATCTCAAAGATAGCTTGAGAGGACCCGGTTGGTGCCAAAGTCATCTATAAAATAGGAAGATACATATTAATGTCCAACTATTGAACTGTTTATTCAATAAAATAGCGTTTCTGTGTTCTCTGACTTGAAGAAAGAAACATGCTTGGTGAACTGTTATTAAAAACAAATCCAACTAAAATGCTCTTCACACATCAGTGTTGGTGTGGCGTGCGTCCTAAATAAAAAAAGTGTCTCAGCGGTGTTTAGTCCGGGCTCCACGCCACAGAGTTTAAAGACCCAATCTAAATATAGGTGCTGTGTTACAGCTCAGTGGGCACCGCTGATGTGAGGAATACAAAAACAGGCTTGTTTGCTGGACACCACACCCAGACGTGTTAGCAGGGCGCGCCCTCATCCGTGCACGTCGACATCACTGCTCTCCCAGTAAAAGCACTGGACACGTCCAAATAAGGAGATCCACAACCTCCACCGCTTTTCAGCACCAGTTTGTTGTTTTTATTCTGCTGTAATTAGTTGACTTTTGATTAACTGCACACACACCTCTTCTTTCTCCTATTGGTTAACAGGAAGTCAAACATTAGGGTGAGGAAAGGGATCCGAGGAAACAGGCCTGTTTCCTCTGGAATTTCTGTATCGCAATGACAAAACCTTTTATGTAACAATGAAGCGTTTTACACATTTCTTTGCCAAACAAGGTGCAGTCATCTTGAAATGTTCTAGGCTGGTTAACTCGTACTGGTAATCATTCCTCTACACGTCTTCTCCTGTTAAACATCCCTCAGTCAACTATTGCAGTTCACAAGTAGCAATTTGTAGTCTCATCACAATGTGACCTTTTAGTGACCTTGGATCGTAGTTCACATGGCATTTGCTACTCATTAATGTGTTGCTTGTGTCACGTGATCCCAAAATGCCAATCATATTAGTTATTTTTTAATGGTTAGCATTGAGCATAGCATTGAGCATATCAATGTGTAAACGCTTACTGCTGCTATAGAAACATCACAGTCTTTCATAGCTGCAGATGCTTGCTAACCAAATTAACCTGCGTCCTGGGCAGCTCGCGGAGCGGTTCAGATCCTCTCATTGGCGGAAGATCGCATCATTCTTATGAATATTGCAAATGTGATTGGCCAGTGTAAACCACGGCTCCTTTTCTTCATCGCTGATTGGTTCTTGCCGACGTCGATCAAACGCTGCGCCATTACGCGCTCCGAGCGTCAGATTAAGGTCCGACGGTCCCAGGAAGCCCCTCTGCTTATTTCATATATTTTTATTAGCGATAGAGGCGACCGAGGCGCTGAAATCCGTGGTCAGGGACAACAAATGTAAATAAGAGAAAACATTAAAATGATTTCCGGTTAGCATTCTGTCTCCGTCACGGCACATTCTGTATGATTTTCCGTTGATGTCGGCGATGTTTACTGTGCAGCCGGATAAGATGCTCTGAAGGGGGTCTGTGTCTGGAGCCTCCAGCCGCGCGCTGCCGAAATATTAGGCAGAACAATCACAGGGTTATTCTGTTATATCGTGTGGTGGCGGCAAGCCAATCATCTAATCTGGAGCAGGACGCGGAGGTAAGGGGCATTTGTTTTATTTGATTTGAGTGCCGTTGGATTAGTCACAGGAACCTGCCAGACAGAGAAAAGAGAATGTAGCGACCCGTTAGCCAGCTAGCGTTAGCACCGCACACGTCTGTAAGTGACCTGCTAGTATTTACACACGGCTGTGCTTTAAAAAACGTCATATTGGTAGTGGCGGTCAGCGTGTGGCAGGCAACAGCGGGTTGGCACCAAATGTTTAAATGCGGGTGAGTTTGGTTGACGTGCGGTGAGTTAGCTGGTTTAACTCCGCGCAGGTGCGTCTTCTCCGGCTTCCGCCACGCTGCGTGAAAAGCACCACGATTAACGTCACGACACGCTTTTATTTATAAGTAAGTTCTACATTGACAAATATCTTAATGTTTAACATCAACACAACACACCTGTCAATATATCTGACATGAATCAATATGTTGGCTTTATTTTGACATTGAAGCATTTTACTACTGATTAAACACACTACAACGTTATATGATGTATTATATATGTGTTATTACTGTATTATCAATACTCCCCATTGCGTTCTCAGCAAAACAACGTCACCGTGAAACAAGAAAAAATAACATTTGTTGACAATATGTTATTTTTGTAACAGGTGTGTGTGTGTGTGTGTGTGTGTGTGTGTGTGTGTGTGTGTGAGAGCGAGCGTCCCACCATTCCTTCCACCGGCGTCATGACTGAGTCCTTTCATTCAGGATGGAAAAGGGTTTCCTGTGCAGTCACTTACAGTACTTGTAGGAAAGTGTGTGTGTGTGTGTCTGTGTGTGTGTGTGTGCGCGCGCGCGCGTGCGAGCGAGCACACTCTCACAACACATTTGAGCCATGGTCCCAGTCACTTATATTTGTGGATTCTAGTTTTGGCGTGACCGATGAGGACCCAGTCGGGCTGCATGCTTTAGTCTCCAAATAGTGGCCTTGCTGATGTAGTGGCTTCCTTAAGAGTGCCTGAGCGGTGTGGCCGTGTTTGTTTAGCAGGCGGGTGGATCTGGGGAACTTCAGGCCAAACCGATTCCCCTCAGACTGTGTCCAAGGACCTGGCGTTGGCCACGTAGGTGGGGAAACGAGCACAAAACGCAATCCAAGCCAGCAAGTGTGAACGCCGAAGGGGCGTGACTCCCATTTTCAATATTCACTTTGCTCCTATGATCAAAAATATCCATTAACAACTTTCTCCAAATCCAAAATCTTAACTTTGACGCCATCAGGTAATGCATAAAAAACATGCGGTCTATCCAGCAGCTCCTCACTTTATAGTTAATGTCATGAAAAAGCTTTTAGTCTCCTTGAGTCAAGTTTCTTCCTCGCAAGCAACAGCTAATCCCCTTTAAATGTCTTGAGATCTGCACAGACCCGTTAAAGCATTTTGTGCTTTAATAGGATTTGATAGCTATAATCATCAATATTTGCAAATGACCGTCGACTGTGAACATAGTGGAGCATGCAGCGACGGAAGAGATGGATATTTTCCTCACAATTTGGTGGTGATCAACAATGGAGCAAAAGAGTTACTATTGAATTCTCCTCAGGCGGCAAAGAAACACGACCCCAAGCATTTTCAATATTGACTTTAGACAATGTGTGATTAAGAATACAAACATAGTCATAAGGATTAGCTGGCTAAGCTTCTGTATGGCACTGCTGTTTATGCCCAAAGCGTATGAATCTACTATTTCTGACTTGGACTAAGAAAAAGTGGTTCTCAGAAGTCAGGATGCATCTTTGTCGCGGCCCAGAAACTAGATGAAACATGGCTCTTGTCTCTGATATCAGCGGGATCTTATCAAGTCTGCTGTGTCTGACGGCGTTCCACCCGCCCACACTGAGACTGCACCTTAAATCGAAGATGTCCATATGTGCCTTTTTTTGGAGAAAGCAGTTTGCATGAATGAGAACCTCACTGCTGCTCTTATATGAAAAAGAGAAAGGTCGCAGGTCCTCCTCAGGTCAGGTGACTTGTCCCAGAATCGTTCTTGGACAGTTTGATATTATCAGAGATTAGTAAAGATGCAGAGGACGGCATACTGAGGGAGATCAGTGGAGACGTCACTGATTGGCTCCTGGAACATGATTCCCTGTCCTCGTTCTGGGGGTCACAGGAATATTTTAGTACCAGGGATCTGACTCTTGTCAGGTTTTGGCTTCGGAGCTGATCTCATTGACATTTAAAAAAAGAAAGGCCCTTAGTTACCCTGTAGTGTTGGATAGCTAATGTATAGATTATGAAAGTCTAAAGCAGTTTAATAAATTTAAAAGTGCACTCAACCGTTGTCACACGTTATATGATCAGTTCTCGGAAAGGAGATGGCGTAAATATAAATATATGACATGCTTGAGTTTCAATCTCTTCTCTCCTCTTTTTCTGCTTCTATCTCTGCTGCCAAAAGCTCTTTCTACCAATCCAGAATTGAATCTTCATTTTCTAACCCTCTCCAACCTCCTCGAACCCCCTAGTCCTCTTTCCCCCTCCACCCTTCTTCCGGGTGACTTTATCAACTACTTTACCAAGAAAATCGCTGACATACGCTTCTCTTTCTCAAAGCCACCTCCTACTATTTGCGTCCCACTGACTTCGCCTCTATTGCCCTCACTTTCCTCTTTCACCCCTGTGTCTCCTAACCAAATTCTTACCCTAGTAACCTCTGCCCGTCCGACCACCTGCCCTCTTGACCCCATTCCATCACATCTTCGACAATCTATTGCATCTGACCTTCTTCCTTTCCTCACCTGTCTCATCAACAATGCTCTGTTATCTGGCTGTTTTACCAATTCTCTGAAGGAGGCAAGAGTTAACCCTCTCCTGAAGAAACCTACTCTCAACCCTTCTGAAGAAAAGAACTACAGACCAGCCTCTCTTCTTCCCTTTTTGTCCAAAACCCTTGAACGTGCAATCTTTAACCAACTCTCCTCCTATCTCCACCATAACAACCTCCTTGACCCCCACCAGTCAGGCTTCAAGGCAGGCCATTCCACAGAGACTGCTCTCCTTGCTGTCTCAGAGCAACTCCACACTGCTAGAGCCGCCTCTCTCTCCTCTGTCCTCATCCTTCTGGACCTCTTCGCTGTATTTGACACAGTCAACCACCAGATCCTTATTTCCTCTCTTCAGGAACTTGGTGTCTCAGGCTCTGCTCTCTCCCTCCTCTCATCCTACCTTGACGGCCGCACCTACTGGGTAACCTGGCGAGGATCTGTGTCGGAACCTTGTCCTCTTACTACTGGAGTTCCTCAGGGTTCCGTCCTGGGTCCCCTCCTCTTCTCGCTCTACACCAACTCTCTCGGCGCTGTCATTCACTCGCATGGCTTCTCCTACCACAGCTATGCCGATGACACCCAACTAATTCTCCTCACTCGGACACCCAGGTGGCATCTCTCAGTGGATGTCCGCTCACCATCTGAAAATCAACCCTGACAAGACTGAACTACTTCTCCTTCCGGGAAAAGATTCTCCCACTTGACGGTCAACTTTGGCAACTCCATGCTAACGCCCACTTTGACCGCAAGGTACCTCGGCGTCACACTCGACAGCCAACTCTCCCTGACTCCCAACATCACTGCGACAACACGATCCTGTAGATACACGCTCTACAACATCAGGAGAATACGTCCCCTTCTCACTCAGAAGGCAGCGCAGGTACTGATTCAGGCTCTTGTCATCTCACGCCTGAACTACTGCAACTCGCTCCTGGCAGGTCTCCCTGCTACTGCTATTCGACCTCTGCAGCTCATCCAGAATGCAGCAGCTCGACTGGTCTTTAACCTTCCGAAATTCTCCCACACTACTCCACTCCTCCGCTCTCTTCACTGGCTACCGGTAGCTGCCCGCATCCAGTTCAAAACATTGGTGCTCACGTACCATGCTGGATCGGATCCAGCTTACATCCAGGACATGGTCAAACCCTACATCCAGACCCGCACTCTCCGCTCTGCATCTGCAAAACTGCTCGTTCCTCCCTCACTGAGAGCAAAACACTCGACTAGATCACGACTCTTTGCTGTCCTTTCTCCGAAATGGTGGAACGAGCTCTCTGAAGACACCAGGACCGCAGAGAGCCTTCACACCCTCCGCCACAAACTAAAGACTAACAAATTGTAGCACTTAAATTGTACTTGTAACGCCACTTATCTATAGCAAATTGTAAATTGACTTATTTGAGGAAATTGCACTTTCTTGTTCTTCTGAGTTTGTATCTTATGGTTGAATGCACTTATTGTAAGTCGCTTTGGATAAAAGCGTCAGCTAAATTACATGTAATGTAATCAGTTAATCTATTATAGATGAATAGTAGTGCTCAGCCTGCAAAAATCTTTCTAGACGGCACCTTTTTATATCTGAAGAAATGATCTTTGTAGGTATTTGTTTGGAGTGGAAGGTCGAGGAAAGCAGCTATGAAATAGAATTATGGGTCTAGGATTTAGCATCTTCAAAGCTTGACACACAACGTAATAAATCCAAAATATCTGTTATATATCCGTTGCTGCTTGGATGTCTTTTCTGAAACATGCACTATTTACCATTATAACAATAAATACAGGACTTTTCACAAGGAGATTAGAATATTTCCATACAACCTTTTGCAAAAACAATCTCTTCTCCCATTCAGGCATTCTTGGGTTGTTTGATGAATTGACTGTGATATTTCATGCAGAGGCTGCTATCACTCCCCTACGACCCAAATCACGTTCTATCAGACAGACGTCCCTTGGAGATTTGTCAGGGAAAAATGAGACCCATTAAAGTTTTCTATGAAGCAGCAAAATAGAAGTTGCAGAAGCATTACTGGTTTAAGTGAATCTGCTTAACTTTCCATTGCCCGGTGCTGCAATGTGACTACAGCGCATTGGCACGTCACAATGTTGATGCTGAACTGATGCATCATGGGCTTCCAGGTAAAACACCCCTCTAAAGGGTGAGCGGGAGACTGAATTCATTTCCTGTCGTCTCGCAGGAGGGTGTGGCCATGACGGGAGAGACCGCTGCCACCCTTCCCATGAGCAACCACACCCGAGAGAGGGTGACCGTGGCCAAGCTGACGCTGGAGAACTTCTACAGCACCCTGCTCACCCAGCATGAGGAGCGCGAGATGAGGTAACGCGTCCACCTGGACTCAAGGAAGAAAGAAGTGATGTAGATGTTGCTGGTCAAAGGTCACCGAGACATTCCGTACAAACGCGTTGTTGGCCACAACTCTTTAATACTTTGGAGAGACGTTGATGTGAACTGCAACTTGGTGACAACCGTGAGGCACGACTACAAAGACGTCAACAACATTGTGGCTCAACGTCGGCTGGTGTAATCACTTGCTCCCTCCCTCGCTGTCAATGACAGGCAAACGGGTTCCATTAAGGCCGGCTCCAGACAAAAACTGACGGCTCCGCATCCACCCTGTTGGCGTAATGCCGCTGTCGTTACAAACGGCACACGCCTTGAGAGAAAGGAGGTCGTCACTCCTCCTCCAGCGAGAGGAGGCGGCATGCAATGTGACGGCCAAATCGTAAATCTCTATACACGAAACACATGCGCAATGTTGCATTCGTTGATATATCACTCAACAGTCACCTGGCCGTCATACTCTTATTAATAACCGGACAACCTTTACCACAGTGCATAAGCCCGGCCCCATAGTCACTCCTTGCGTGTTAATAGAGCCGTTTAAAGCAACAAGGGCGTCCCATAATCTGCCTGTTGTGTTCTCAGATTACCTGTAGAACTGATCTACAGTCCAGGTAACATGGAGGAGACAGCCGGCTCACTCTCTCACCTGCCAATGAACATTTTCAAGACGTCTTTAAGCGATGTAGTCTGTCCTTGCGAAACGTGTGTGAAACGAGAGGCAGGGTTTTCGGCCCACATTCAGCTGTTCATAGTGTCTGTAACATTGTATCGTTCTCAGGCAGAAGAAGCTGGAGAAGGCCATGGACGAGGAGGGCCTGCCAGATGACGAGGTACCATTAGCTTTGTCGTCTCCTTGACGGACCACAAACACGTTTATTAATCTTTCTCACGTCCTCCATTGACTTCCCGTCTGTCCTCCTGTGTTTGGCAGAAAGTCATGCGGCGCTCGCAGCACGCCCGTAAGGAGACCGAGTTCTTGCGACTGAAGCGGACGCGACTTGGCTTGGATGACTTTGAGTCTCTTAAAGTTATCGGACGGGGGGCTTTTGGAGAGGTACAGTGGAGGCAGAGTTAATTTTGTCGACGAAAACTATGACGAAAAATGTTTGTTAACGAACATTTTTTCCATGACTAAGACGAGACTATGAGGTGACGAAAACGATCTTAAAAAATAAAAACTATGACTTAAATCTATTCTAACTTTCGTTAACGAGACGAGACGAACATGTTGGTGGTTGACGAAGTCACGATACTTTTTCCCCCTAAATTCGCACGCAGCTGACAGACAACAGACCGGCAAAGTACGGCGGATATTAACGCGTCATGATGACGTCATCCACGAACCCAGAACGCGCGCTCGCAGCGGTGGTTCTTGTGCACCGACTACGGACCGCGACGACTATTTTACGCTTCGGCGAGTTTGAATGTGGCTTCGTTAGTTTATCTCAGCTGTCTCGGTTTAGCTGACTGTTAGCAGGCTGAAGCCGCGCTGCTTCACAGAAACATGAAGACCCGTTTAACAGACTGTCGGACCTTTCTGCTCTGTTCTCTGGCGACGGCAGGCAGCGTTTCCTCGGTGGATGAGACGCTCCGTCACAAACGCGTCTAACGTAATAAACTCATTGCAGGTTCTGAAGCCTCACGCATTTCAACTATAGTTCACGCGCCACATCGTGAAAAGACGGTGTCAAACCGCCTCGGCCACCGTACGTTCGTTACTAAGCAACATAGAGGCGCCAACACACTGTGACAGGGCCGTGTCAAAAGCATTGCAAGTAAACGGACAAAGACAACAAAGTGTTGCGTTTAGATCCCTGGTCCTCATGAAGTTGTTACACCTTAGCTAATTTGTTAAATTGCCTTGCAAATAAATGCTTTGCTATTTGTTAAAATCCAACTCCTTTCATGTAATGATGTTTCACATGTCATTTATATTAGCTCACACAAACACTTCAACCATTTGTTCTTGGCCCGGCTCCTCCGTCACATTTTACAACCCATTGTGGCCCGAGTCAAAAAGTTTGCCGACCTGCTATAGACCTGTCCTAGGAGGGACATCTAATGAACAACCAAGTACGGCAAGCTAGACTATTATGCAGTTGTAGGTCCCTGGGCCTGAGAAGGGAAGAAAAGGAGTTTAATATGGCTATTAAATGGGACTAAAACTAGACTAAAACTAATATGCATTTTTTGTCTAAAGACTAAGACTAAATCAAAAATAGCTGCCAAAATTAACACTGAGCGGAAATGGCCAAAAATACCAAATACCATCCAAACCCCACGCAGCTCATCTCTTGGGCACAGGTTGTGTTGCTGCATCTCTGGTTTAGTTGATCCTCCTGCATCGCTCTTTTCCATGTTTTAATGTAGCAACGGAGCTTCTTGTTGTGATAGCGGGCGAGCTGTACCCAGCATGCAGTTGCGGCGGTGTCATTTTATAAATGTACAATTATTAGTGTTTGTGCCACAAACCGTGGTGTCGTGGTTAATTTTGGGTTATTAATCGTTCTTCTTAAATCATAACCATGACTCCCTCAATATACGTAAGAGTAAGTTGACCCGACCGCTGCGCCTACAGCGCTGAGTGGTGAACAATATATTTATCTGCCTGCCGAAGAGAGACTACAGTTGTTGCGCTTATGGTATGACGGTACATGAAAAATTCATACTGTAAGTAAATTTGAAACCGGTATAACGCATAGTCCTGGAGAACCGTGACGTGATTCTAGAAATAAAGCACAATCGTTGTCTTCTTATCACAGCTAATCCCATCGGCTTTCCTCATGAACTCAACTGTGGTGTCGTCTCCCTCAGGTCCGTTTGGTGCAGAAGAAAGACACTGGGCACATCTACGCCATGAAGATCCTGCGAAAGGCCGACATGCTGGAGAAGGAACAGGTCGGCCTCGGTGCCGCAGAACGATGCTTCGTGCTCTCCGTGTCGTCGGCGTCTAATGCTGTCCTTTGTCTCCCTGCAGGTTGCCCATATCCGTGCAGAGAGGGATATTCTGGTGGAGGCGGACGGCGCCTGGGTGGTCAAGATGTTCTACAGCTTTCAGGACAAGCGGAACCTTTACCTCATCATGGAGTTCCTGCCTGGAGGTGCGTACGGACCCATTTGTTAGCGTTCGAGGTCATCAGTATGTTGAGTGTGTTTTAAAACCGAGGTTTATTGAACTGAGGAAGCGCTGTGACGTGAGCGGAACAGACCAACATGTTGCGCCTAAACTCTGCCTTTGTTGCCAGGCGACATGATGACCCTGCTGATGAAGAAGGACACTCTGTCCGAAGAGGCCACCCAGTTCTACATCGCCGAGACGGTCCTGGCCATCGACTCCATCCACCAGCTGGGCTTCATCCACAGAGACATCAAACCTGACAACCTGCTGCTGGACTCCAGGGTGAGCCTCGGGAACGCACACGCCGCACAGCGCTCTAACTGTGAGAGACTCACTCTATTGTGCGTTTGCTCTCAGGGACATGTGAAGCTGTCCGATTTTGGCCTCTGTACAGGACTGAAGAAGGCTCATCGCACAGAATTCTATAGGAACCTGACGCACAACCCGCCCAGCGATTTCTGTGAGTTCACAAAAAAATAACAAGAAACGCCGAACATTGATGAAACTAGATGCATGTCACCGTTGTGTAATTAAGTGGTAACTTCAATCACGTTATCTCAGACACAGCTTTGGTCTTCACCGGCTTTACCTTTCGTTACTCTCCGCCCTCCTACAGCTTTTCAAAACATGAACTCCAAGAGGAAAGCAGAAACCTGGAAGAAGAACCGGAGACAGCTGGTAGGAGTATAAGAAGTGAAGAAAGGCAACATTTAAATGTAGCTTTCTCTAGATTCTGGTTAACTTAATGTAAAATCATCAACCTGACTGGAACCCGTTGAAGTCCGTTTTAACGTTCAGATTTTGAGTAAATGTTTTTCCAACCCAGAGCCCTCCGCTTCTATCTGTCTGTGACTTTTAGGCGTATTCTACTGTGGGAACTCCGGACTACATCGCTCCTGAGGTCTTCTTGCAGACGGGATACAACAAACTGTGTGACTGGTGGTCTCTGGGGGTCATCATGTACGAAATGCTCATCGGTAAGCATGTGTTTGCCCGTATGAAGACGAACACTGAGAAGTAAATCAGATAAATCTGGAAAAAGAAATCACAGATTGAAATAATGTTTGAAATGTCTCAAAGGGATAGTTTGATTGATTTGAAATGCGGTTGTATCATGCATGAGGAACTTCTCCATAGTCCGAGCACTGACAACAGTAGGTGGTTTGAGAAGCAGACATATGTTTTCTGCCACCTATAAAAAACGCTATATTTTGAATATTTTCACCACCTTACTGACCCAAATCCGTTACTGCGCTTCTTTCAAAGCCAGAGGACCAGTGTTACCAGGCAGAACACAGAATTTGCTTCCACCATTAGTTTTTAGTCTTTTGTCATTTAAAGGGTTAGTTGGTTCAGATTTACCAAAGTAACGCATAAAAAAAATCCATTTGAGGCAGTGGTCGACCAGCAGGTCAGTTGTAGTACAATAACTGTTTTTAACAGTCTGGTTGCTTTGAAGAGGACATTAATGGGAAAGTCTGGTGCCGTAGTAGAGCGGTGAGCACTGATTAAACACTGATTTTTATATTTGGGAGCTTCGCTTCTGCTACTACACAGCAGTACTTCCCTTTACTAGTACTGTTGTTAACTATCTATTGCATGTGATGCACTGATTATAGGCGGTACAACAACCTCACTACAAAGGAGCAGAACTATCACATAATATTAACAGAACGACATGGCAGATTGACTCACGACTTAACATGAATCTTCAGTGGACTCCTGCAGGTTGTATTGCCCTACGTCTCAATGGTTGCTGGCTGTGTTCAGGTTACCCGCCCTTCTGCTCTGAGACGCCACAGGAGACGTACAGGAAGGTGATGAACTGGAAGGAGACCCTTGTCTTCCCACCCGAAGTCCCCATCTCAGAGAGGGCCAAAGACTTGATATTAAAGTATGGAAAGACGCTCTTTCATTTTGAGCGGGCGGTGAATGACCGGCCTAATGTCCCATTTCTGCATGATGGTTTCGGTGCGGTTATATTATCAATGCTGTGTTTGTGTTGCAGGTATTGCACTGATCCCGAGAACAGGGTTGGAGCTGTGAGCGTGGAGGAGATCAAGAGTCATCAGTTCTTTGAGTCGGTGGACTGGGAACACATAAGGTACATGGACACTACATGGACACTAGGCCCCTGTCAGACAGACGTCATCTGGCTATAAGGGGGGGGCTGAATGTCTGATTTTATACAGAATAGTTATTTCTCCCAATAAATCAAGATGTATATCTAATTCTGTAGATGTTTAGTGTAAATCTTGTTGCAGCTCCTTTTGTACAGAATATTAGTATTAATAATAAGTTAATAACATTTCCAATATGTAGCCTCTGAAAGGCTGCATAATAACAACAACATACGTCTACTGCTTCCAAATCAAGGAATAAATGTATAGAAACAGAAACTGCTGCTTGTGCGTCTTGTTTCTGTCGAGCCAAATTTGACATTTAATTTCCAACCACAAAAAGACAGCAGGCCTAGAAACTGTGCTCAGTACTGTTGACAGCGATATACTCTGCACACAACAAACAGTCCATCAATGAGCAGAGAAAGAAAAATAACTATGCTTGAAAACATGATTTGAAGATCAGCCGACAATTTAGTCAAAGCAATTTAAGGAAAATGCCATCATTTAGCTCAACTCAAAAGCACGAGTTTAATGTTTGTGATTTCTGCGTCTCGTCCCCACAGGGAGCGTCCCGCAGCCATCTCCATCGAAATCAAGAGCATCGACGACACCTCAAACTTTGACGACTTCCCCGAATCAGACATCCTTCAGCCAGGTTCGTCACTCGCTGCAGCCAAAGCAGGAAACGCGAGCATGTCTTCCCTGTCTGAACGAGTGAGGCCGATGATTGGTGATTGAAGCCGATACTCAACAATGATCTCTCCCTGTCCACTTCAACGGCTTTAAAGGGGCCTTTTCATTCACACGATGCACTGCCCTTCAGGTGGCAGAATATTAACACCTCCTCTTGTCATGTGTTCATCTACAGCCAACGCCACGGAGCCGGACTTCAAGTCGAAGGATTGGGTGTTCCTCAACTACACGTACAAGCGCTTTGAGGGTCTGACTCAGCGAGGCACCATCCCCTCATACGTAAAGGCAGGGAAGGCCTGAAGCATGGAGAGAAGACGGACACAAGAGACGTTAACGGACACAGGGTCAGGCTGCCGAGCCCCGCTGGCGCCGAGAGGCCGCGCCCTCGGGCTTCTCGGCGTAAATTTAACCCTCATTGCAAGTCATTTAGTTCTGCTCAGCCGCCGCAAGAACGCCAAGCGCTCCGATACGAAGGAGCGTTACCGCATTACCTCGGTTGTTTATATCGCATATACACGCGCCGCCTTTAGCCACAGCTCTCAGGCCAGCTCACTAACTAGGACACTAAGTCAGCATATCTGCATGTACAGTCTGGAGAGGAATGAGGATAAACTGATTCACAGCGACAGTCTCTCCTCCGGCGAATTTAGCCGCGATGCACCGTTCCTTCTACTGAAGTCGCGCTCCACACACCGTAGTCCGACGGATAAGTTGGTAAGATCAGGTACACTTCTCACGTGTTCTCGCCCGTATTTGTTGTACCCACTTAGTGGACATTAAAGGAAAGTTCCAGTATGATTTCAAGGATTTTGGCTTTGCATTTAGCAACAGCGGTAGCAGCCATTCAAAAAGCGTCAAGTGTGAAATATCGTCCCTTTTTATTTTGGTGGTAGTTAGCAAAGTGATGGTGGGTCCCAATGGAAGCTCAGTTGGCAACAACGGCCTCTGGGATAAGTAGGAATGTTGAGCGGGTTACAGCCTTTGTTTTAATGTGTTCTAGGCTTGTTAGTCTTGCTAGCGGCGTAGCTATTACTAATAGATGAAGTATTGAACTCTGTGGTGCCTCAACTTTTCCTCCAGCGCCGTCATTGGGACGGAAATGGTTTCCGTCGGCTGGAAACAATTTATTTTAAAATATTTCATTTGTACATTCTGGTTTTATCACTAAAAACATCTCTCAAGCTAACCGCAGCCGTACTAAGATAACGATAACTAACATCGGAAACCAGGTTAGCGTCGAACTGTTAGCAGTGCCTGTGGTCGCTAATGTTAGCTTTTAGTTCAAATATGACAATCTGTAGGAAAAAAAGCCGCAGGGAATTAAGTGTAAATATTTGTATTGTTATAGTAGTATAATTTCTACCTGTAATGGGCTGGTGGGAGGGAGATTGAATGTGTCTTGCTGTTTTTAAGTAACCGTTAACATTAATGGGAGAGAAAATAAAACTCCAAGTTCGAATCATGCTGGAACCGTCCTTTAGTCCCCACGCCGGTGGCTCTTTAGGACAACTCTTCCTCTGGCTGCTTTGCTCACAGAGGCACAACTCGGTGTCCCTGCGCTCCGTCTCGTGAGACGGCGGCGCCGCTCGTGTTTGCTGGTGCAGTTCAGCGCTGCCGTCGTTGATATTCACCCTCTGATTTCATTTCCAACGATCCAGGGGGCCGATCTGTTCCTCCCTGGATGGACGGAACATGCAAAGTGCCTTGAAAATAGCAGATAAATATTTAAGCAGACGTGTTAGCACAGATTAATCCGTGGCTGTCGATTTTACTTTTAGAAATTAAATTAAAGCTGTTAGGAGGGAAAGGTGAAAGGACAAGGGAACCATTCTATGCTTTGAGTCAACTTGTGAGGAAGCAGAAAGGAAGCTGTGACGTGTCACTCGTTTCCAGCGCGCCTGTGTAGCGAGACAGCTGATAAACTGGGGGGTGAAGCAAAGGGAGTCGAATAGTTAAACAATGCCTCAAGGGGAACACAACTCAGTGTCTTTGTTAAAAAACGTGTACTTAAGATTCTCGATGTATTTAACTCCTCCTGAAAGGCCCACGTCAGGCCTCTACAAAACAAACCACAGCAGTCACAGTTGTGACTGGACAAAGCGCTAAAATAGAAACCAAAGAACTCAGATCATCACACGTCGCTGATCTGAACGCAGGATCCGACGTAGCTGCCGCTTACCGCGCTCAACGTTAAACTACCTTTCAGAATAAAACTCCATTCCATGAGAGCTAAACCTGGCTACAGAATAATTCACTGTTTCCATTGCTACGCCTGCCGGGGAAATGAGTTAGCAACTGTTCCTCAGTTCACTGTCAAAATGCAAATGAAGCTAGAAGTGTGCATCCGAGGACGGGACATAAACTGAAGGCTTTACCGTGGTGGAAGTACAGCCGGAGCCATCGCAGGAATCCACATCAAACCACCATCTCCTCATGTTGTCTTATGTATCTCTTTAACCAGAAAGCTCCATGAGGACTTGCTGCAAGATTTGGTCCTAGTATCTAAATTGAAATTGGGTGATGGCAGATTTTTGTATGGAATGTAAAGGGGCACTCCAGTGGTTTAGTGTTCAATTCTGGTATATTTATTTAGTATAGACCCAAATCTACACCTTTGCCTGTGCGGGCTTTACAATCTGTAAAGATGAGACCCTCATTCAAGCTAGAGACATAAAAAAGGTCAAATCTTATCTTTCAGCTTCTAGAATGGCACATTCACAAAAACTGCGAATCCTTCACTTCCCATGATGCAACTTGATTACACCTTTCAAAACTAAGCAGGACAGATGCATGCTGATGGCTGAAGCTGCAGGTTCCCCGGTCGTGTGTGATCACAGGAACACATCGGCCAAACGCTGTATTCATACCGAGTGTTTGGTGACGGACAGCACGTTGGAGGGAGTGAGACGAGAAGGAAACACCCAGGAGATGCTCTGTGCTTTTTAGTTGTTGTGAGGTGACGCGTGACCATGTTTAATGTGTTCTGTGTTCAGATGAAACAGGTTATGGTAAATGAAGCATTTGTCATCCATACAAATCAACATGCGGAGATGACTTGAGATTCATCACCGTGGAGCTTTATCTGACGGTATCTACATTATTTTGACTTTATTTCTCCACGAGGTCGAGAGGAGTTCAGGAAATGTTTCACCTTTTCCAGTTAATTAATTTACTGACGGACCAAACACGCTGTTTAACTCATCCTTCGTGTTTTTAATCACAACAGTGTCCCATAATGTTAATGATTAATGTTTAGAAAGGTGCATTTATCATGTTAGAAATAAGCAGTTAACTCTAAGGATGAAAGCAGAGTAGATTCACATCCAGAGTCTAGATGGAAGTGGTCCATGGACTGTGCTAATAAAATCTATTCTCCGCTCAAATGAGAGTTTTAAAAGGGAAAAGAAGAATTCCACAGGACTGTGTCGTGAGGTATTTGGTGCAACTCTGTGTACATATTGTTGTAGACACTTGAAGAAAACTGTGGAGTGACGGAGGAAATGCTCAGAAATATATTCATTCACATTGATGAGTTCTTATGTCAATAAAATGCTTAAAACAATAGAAATTAAACATTCTTATTCTTCAGGGTTTCTTCTTTTAAAACAAAAAAACAACATTGGTGTGTTACTTTAGCTTTCTGCATTTTAAATCACCAAACTGAAGTGACAACTTATTGCAATGTCTTATGGTTTGGGATCCTGAGTAAACAGAAAAACAAGACTGATGCAACAAAATACAGTCACAGTGACATTCAACAAATGTAGGATTTACCATTGAGTCAGACTCTTTGCTATATTTACAGTAATATAACATTCATATTCCATTCTTACTCTCTTTTTGTTGTAAATACTATCTAACTTAGTATCTAAAAATGTATTTTGAAATGCAACAATATAACCTGATGCCGTGTATTTTTATGCAGATGTTTCCCATTTATCTCGATGTATATCAAATAGCGGCAAAACATGAAAATAAAAATAAAATGCATATATATACACACTCACTTAAAGGATTATTACACCTGTTCAATTTCTCATTAATACAATTATCTAATCAACCAATCACATGGCAGTTGCTTCAATGCATTTAGGGGTGTGGTCCTGGTCAAGACAATCTGCTGAACTCCAAACTGAATGTCAGAATGGGAAAGAAAGGTGATTTAAGCCATTTTGAGCGTGGCATGGTTGTTGGTGCCAGACAGGCCGGTCTGAGTATTTCACCATCTGCTCAGTTACTGGGATTTTCACGCACAACCATTTTTAGGGTTCACAAAGAATGGTGTGAAAAGGGAAAAACATCCAGTATGTGGCAGTCCTGTGGGTTAAAATGCCTCGTTGATGCTAGAGGTCAGAGGAGAATGGGCCGACTGATTCAAGCTGATAGAAGAGCAACTTTGACTGAAATAACCACTCGTTACAACCGAGGTATGCAGCAAAGCATTTGTGAAGCCACAACACGCACAACCTTGAGGCGGGTGGGCTACAACAGCAGAAGACCCCACCGGGTATCACTCATCTCCACTACAAATAGGAAAAAGAGGATACAATTTGCAAGAGCTCACCAAAATTGGACAGTTGAAGAATCTAAAAATGTTGCCTGGTCTGATGAGTCTCGATTTCTGTTGAGACATTCGGATGGTAGAGTCAGAATTTGGCGTAAACAGAATGAGAACATGGATCCATCATGCCGTGTTACCACTGTGCAGGCTGGTGGTGGTGGTGTAATGGTGTGGGGGATGTTTTCTTGGCACATTTTAGGCCCCTTAGTGCCAATTGGGGTTCGTTTAAATGCCACGGCCTACCTGAGCATTGTTTCTGACCATGTCCATCCCTTTATGGCACCATGTACACATCCTCTGATGGCTACTTCCAGCAGGATAATGCACCATGTTACAAAGCTCTTCGTCTTTATTCAGACTATTTTTTATTTCTAGAAACATGGAAAGGTTTTGGGGTAAAATATGATTTGGTTTATTGTTTGCACCCCTTATTTAAAGTCACTGCGTTTTCCCCTCTTTGGGGGCAATAGGATACAACAGTGCTCTGTCGGAGAAGGCATCGCATAGCCGATACCGGCTATGTCTGGCTGCCCTCGTATTCTGCCACCTACTGGTAGAGATGGTGAACATGTTTATATCTACATCCCCTTAACCCAGAGGTCCCCAACTGCCGGGCCGCAGGCGATTTGGTACCGGGCCGCATCACAGAAAGAATACCCCTCTCCCTTGGTTAATATGCATATTATTAACTATATTGCATCAAACAGTGCACCGAGTAATGAGTATTGCTGTGTACATAGATGAAGGAAAATGAATCTGAATGTAGTCATCTTGCTTACAGTCTTTCTATTGCGGTGACTTTTACTGTGAAAATGTACGTATTTACGAATTAGCTGCTGCGCTTAGTATTTCATTTTATAAAACAAAAACTAAAAGGGATTAAGGACAATCAAAATTGGTCATTTTTTCTTTTTTGTATTCATACAACAAAAATGGAAAAATGGCCGCTCTTTTCTGGACTGGGTGTGTCAAACCATTAGTGCTTTAAAATTGCACCTCTGAAATAAATGTTGAAACAAATAATAACATAATAAAATGTACTAATCATAAAATATTTATTAATATTCCTGTTCCCGGATATATATGATAAAGCAAAGACGGATTATATTTAATTTAGTGTTAAACAGCAGAAAATAGGACATTTGTAGGGTTTTTTTTGTGATGGAAAATGTTGTAAATCTGGCATGTTTAAAAAAAAAAGATTAGTCTTTAAGTTAGCTGATCTTTTAAAAGCAATATTTCTTACTAGCACTAACTATACTACACGCATAATGACTATTGGTTGATTATTGTACTACATGTTGTGATAAATACAAATAAAGCAGTAGGCACCGCATATTTCAGTTCATGTGAAGCTGCGAGCAGCTCAACCAACCGGATAAATAAACGATATTATACAGGGGAGATTTGCAGCAGTAGTCACACGTGGAGACGAACATATGCCTCCCAGCTTCCTGTCCCCCTGTCCGCCTCAGAGGACACGGAGCAGGCTGCAGCCATGGGACAGCATCTCACCGACTGGAGCGGCGGCGCTGGGCCGATCGAAGGTGCAGTATCCCGGCTACATGTCTCTGTGTTGTGGTGAGACATAAGTACCCGATTTCACCTACACGATTTAGACCGTGTGTTCATCCTTGGGCAGCTTTCCTTTGGGTGGCAGAGGGCACGTAGAGATGAAGACGGTGCGGTGTAGGACTGGGTGGGGATGATGGTGCAGTGAATCAACGTGATGGTGTAGGTGATGGATGCCGTCTCGCATCTTGTGCATGAGGAAGGATACGATCTCGCACATTTGTTTTCTGACTACTCGTAAGGTATGCGTTACATAATATCATACCCAATGTGTTTCAGGGATGTATGGGGACGACTACTAAATTCGGCTTTATTTTGAACAACCAATATCTACTAAAATCAAGTCCAACTTTAGAAATGTTGCGAATGTTAACGTTTGGCGGTCACACAGCGCGCCATAGTGCGCACTAACGTGCTGGGGGTAAAGTAGATTACTTATGGATACGGTGATTGTTTACGGTTAGTCATTCAACAGCGCCACGTGATTAAATAGTACGTATCCAACATGTCTGTACGACCTTTGAAGCTGCCAAAGAGTAAAGCCGCGGCAACTGACGTCCGACGAGATTGACTCGAAGGAACATAGAATGAGACGAAGATAACGTTGCACTTCCATCGCAGCGGCAATCTTCAAGGTTTGAGTCTTAGTTGATTTAGAATTCTATATAAGTTAAAACATTGCAATTGTGCTAAAGTTAGAGTATTTTGAAGTATAATCAAAATTCCAAACCAACATGTTACTTTTCATAGGGGAATTTTATAGTCGTTTGGTATAAAGGAGAAAAGTGTAATATAAAAGAGAAAAGTGTTATATAGCATTTCTTCCGTGATTGCCACCACACCAGGTTTGCAATACCACAAATACATTTTGCAATACGGTATGTGCTACCTCTTTCAGGAATAGTTAGTGACTTCACAGAAATGTATTTAAACTAAAATCTTTGATATTTTCACTTTAACTGATTGTTATACACAATTGACGCTTGATTAATCTGATTAATCAATCTGTTTTGTTCTTGTATTGATTCATATTTTCAATTTGTGTGCAAGTCAGAGGGAAATATTGCTCTTAACCCAATTGGATTGTGTACATTTTATCGGTTTGGAAATGGGTGAATTATCACTAGCCTTTCATTTCTGTTTGAGTAGGAATGCAAAAATGTTTTTGATCAGTGTGCCGAGCTGGTATTGAAGCTGTATCCTTGCGGTCTGGAGGATATTCTATTTGTATGAATTGAGCAGAAGGCTGAACCAACAGAAAGAAAACACATGGAGTATTCTGTATTTTCCATTGTATGAATGTTTGATTTATTTCCACGTGTCTTGGATTATAAGAACCTCACAAACTTCTTCACTTCTTCCTTTAGCAGTAATTTAATTATATAGAATATTCCAGACTCATTATTAGAGACCATGCTCGTAACTTTTATATGGAACAGAATTAACATACCTAAATCTGTCACTAGATGGCGGTTCAATACTTCTCTTTTCAAAGATCCTCAGTATGACAGTATCATTAAAAGAAAGTGGCCATCGTTCTTAAAAATAAATGATTCATCAACAAACCTTATATGAGGGAAAGCAGTTTTAAGAGGAATAATCACCTCATCTCAATCAATTGACCTGGAAACATTGGAAACACAAAACAAATTAGGAAGTATGAATTCAATAAAGGAAATTATAATTTTATTAAATAAAATAAATGCCTGTAAATAAATAAAAATCAATTCCTAATACACAGACATTTATACCATAGCATTAACTCTGGTACATATTTGGCAAATCAAGTTAATCAAAATAAAAAAACAATCTCAATCATTAAGGACATAATACAAATTTTCAGAAGTTTTTATGCTATTAATATTCACCTGAAAATGACCCAAATCAAGAATCAATTAATTTCTCAACAGCATTTCCACAATAAACTTGAGCAAAACAAACTGCCGATCTCTCCTCGTGGCCCTAACTATCGCCACAACTACTATTCTCATGAATTGTAACTCAAGGAATAACACACATATCACCCATCGGAGAAACTTGGCGTTGGATTAAATCTCAACACGAAATCTACCCCCCACCCCCATCACTTACAATACAACAGAACATCACTCCATCAGATCATCATTTACTATTTTACTATGTTTTTGCAAACATGACACAACCATCCTATTGATATTAAAAATTATTATTATTTTGTTTGTTTATTTGCCTTAAAACCAATTGAAGCCCAAGTACACGCATAAACAAAGACAAATACGATTGTTATTTAATTTAACACCCCAGATAGCAGGCAGAGTTGGCTGTATTGCGGCTGATTGTCCGCTACCTCGGCTGTGTTCTGGCTCGATGCGGCCAAATGTGAGCCAGCTTTGTTCCATTACCATATCTGGACCAGATGTAGCTGTTACAGACATGGGTCGATACTGACTCAAACATGGCAGCCAAATCTGGCATCATAGAAACAGGATTTTTTGGGCTGAGACATGGCAGCCGGGTTTATTGTCAACCAGCACTGAAACAGGTTATGAACCATTAATGGCTGCCAAACCTGGGCCAAATCTGGCATTATAAAATTGGGCCTATTCTGGTTGAGACATGGCAGCCGGGTTTATCGTCAACCAGCACTGAAACAGGTTATGAACCATTGACAGCTGCCAAACCTGCCCCAAAGCATGAGTGTCCCTCATTTTGGTCTCTAGTCATGCACTCCCACCACACATCCAATTTCCATTTCCTCTCTCCCCAGTCGACCATGTCGCCCGCGTGAACCCGTCGGCCGTAGCGTCCTCCATTCTCAAATACGGGACAGTTCCGTATTTTGAGGGACGGGTGGCAACCCTACGGACAAGTGGCAAATGGAACACTTTACTCACTGCTAGGCTAAGCTAGCTGTTGGACTAAGCTAGCTGCTAGGCTACTTCCATCTCAACATCTACCCTGCAGAGGACCACCACTGTAAGACAGTGGTTTGGAAAACGTCCTGGCTAAATGTCGGGACATTGTTATGACTTCAAACACATCTGCTACGGCATGTGGTGGTGGACCCAAATGCAGAGACTAGAAGGTACGGGGTAAACTGGTTTATTGCCAGGGACACAGCTCTGGAGACAGTTCGGAATGGAAATGAATCCACCCAGTGGAATTCTGGCTTGGAGAAGATGAAATGTGTGTAGTTTTGTGGTTAAAATAATATTAATAATTAAACAACAGTGTCTAAAATAAACGCTTTCTAAAGTGATTACTCATTACTTGTAAGATTGTCTTTAGAATAAAAAAATAACTTTTAATGAATTTCAAAATGGGTGATTAATTCCTTTTAATTAATTAATTAATTTTTTATCTAACAGACCAAGTTTATATTGTTACATTGTTAACATGAAATTAACTTAACACATAAAGGGTGTGAGGGAACATGAATTCACTTTAATCAACTTTTCAATTTAACAATTCACACGCTGTAGTCTATGACTTTGCTGCACCACCAAAGCCAAGCGTGTTCATATAAAAAAGTCCAGAAACCCCATCCTCTGTCCTCTCTATCATCTACATACAAACTATTCTAGATCCCTGTATTACATTTTGACCTACACAAGTACACACACAAACATGTGTCTCTCCTTCTTCACATTCTTCACTGTATGTATGCTGAGCAACGCAATCTACTATAAAGCACTGAACATACAAACACATCACTCAGAGACAAATCTGTCGAGGTCATGATGTTGCTGAGTCATCTTGCTGCTTCCTTCAGCTCTGTTATGCTGGGGGTGTGGGTACGGGAGAGGGACTGGGCATGCGTGAAGTACCTCCATTTTGATCGCCAGGCTGTTCCTGCATGCGTCTGATTGCTTTATCTGTTCTTTCACTTCCAAGGTCACCAATTGAATATAACAATACGTTTTTGTTAGGTTGCATGGTAAGGAATACGTAATTCTACTGAGTCATAAAAGTTGTGGCTGGCAGATGTATTGTTTAGAATGTTCCACAGACGTTCCTTTGTGATAATAATTGAAAATAGAAATGAGCGGGTGTATTGTAGCTCTCGTTTAAACATATCAACAGGTTTTTTCTACCATATTAGGTCAACAGTGCTACAAAATGTTCATTCATGTTAGATGTGACATCAACATAGTGTTAATAGAATAGTATTTAAAAATGAAGCACAGAAATGTTGCTTTTGTGTATTTCGATATTCAGGTTAATTTTGTATTCCATCTCAGAGGCTCAGAGGTTTATTTAGAAAAATAGCCTAGTCTTCATTTCGCCCAAATATTGATACCCAAGATGAAAATTCCAACCTTAAATGGAGGGAAATAAAAAGGAAGAAACCTCAAGGGGAGGAACTTTGAGGGATTTAACTCTGATAATAATGTAATAATGTAGTGTGCACAGGATATTCAAATTATTTTTGGGCCATGGTTTAGGTTTGTTGGGAGAGGTTAGAAGATAATAATGGACACACAAAGAAAATGGAGCCACTGAATGATTTAATTTCAAAGATTGTTTTGAACCGTATACAAATAGGACAAAACATACTGTAGTGTTATGTGTAAAAGAAGTTTAGGAAGCTGTTGTATCTTTGGCTAAATTTATTAGTTCAACGTTAGTGTGACGACTCGAAGAGACTGAAGATTAACTTCCTGTTTTATTTTTGTAACCACGGCACTTCCTGTATCTAGTTTCCCCCCACAGCTGAGTTTAGTTTGTAATCACCCGCACCTGTATTTAAGCCTCAGTTCCCCACTTGTCTGTGTCAGGTTATCTTTTGTCGTTCCTAGAGGTACATGTTTGTTGTTAAATTCCCAGTGCTGTTTTTGTAATCTTGTTTCTACTTTGTTGCCAGGCCCTCTTCCTTTTTGTTTTCTACAAGAGCGTGTGGATTCCGCCTTTGCCTGTGCCCCCTTTGTTTTGCATTAGTTTACTCTCCTAGTAAAAGATTCCAAACCTTGAAAGAATTTTCTGTTGCCTTATTGCT